ATGAGATATGGCTCACTAAAACCATCTCACAAAAAACTCTCAGAACTCTTTACTTCACACAATATTTACTTAATTACATGGACTTTTCAAAATTTAGAAAATTGATAACATCTTTGTGTATCTACTTTTCTTGATTGATTTCTAATTTAGGAAATTTATTATAAATTTAATTGGATTTGTAGTTTGCTCAAAACGCTTGAAAATTTTCAGAAAAATGTCCTAAATCTGATTTTACTTTCATATATTTAAAAATATTCAAATTTAGACTTTACACCTCTCCAAATTTACGAAGTCGATAAACAAATTATGCAATTATGATAAGATAATTAATATTTGTACTTTGTATCATATTTGTTTCAAATTCACAAATTCAAACAATTTACTTAATATTTGTACAAAATACGTTGGATTAACATAACAATTATTGGATATTTTCTTGTATACTTTTTTTTTGCTGAATTGAAGACATATAAAAATGTACCTGATTTCAAATGAAACATACCAAATAAAATGTGGTCGTAATTGATGAAAATTAGTCAATTTTAATCAATAATAATAAAGACTCAAATAATTCGCTTAATATTCTACAAAAATTGATTGTTTTAATTAATTAACGTTTTCAATAAATAATTACACTTATATTTTCTTTTAATTAACCTGTAATAAAGTTACAGTTTTTTGTGGGTGAAACGAATGAGATTAAAGTGCAAACTTTGAAATTAATATTAAAATATGATTATGATATTATTTATTCACGCAAAATCAATTCGGGCTAAATAAATAGAAATTAATTCGGAGGGGAATTCGCAATATCCGCGCGAAATTGGAAAAAAAATGAAAATCCAGCACTGCAACAATAAACAATATATATATAGAATGTTTGCGTTCACTTGCAACAATATACACATGTAATTATAGTTGCTTGCACGTTCCGAATTTAATGCGAATATTTTGTAAATTCTACGCGTTGATACATCTGAAACTAAGCAAGAAAACGTTTACAAGTTTGCGTTTAGTTACGTAATTCTCATTATGTAAATATTAAAGTGTGCAGATTGCAGGTAATTAATTTGAACATCAATTATAATAATAAGGCTTTAGAAAATCAATAATAAGTTTTCATGCAACTTGTACGAAGTTATTAAAACATACTTAACGGATAGTTATAGCTGTATGATCCTCTATGTAATTATGTCAGGTATATTATAAGATTTTGCACTTGGGTTTGCCAAATATTTACAAGATGATGAATTATTTGGAAATTGATTGATGTAATGTAAGTTCAATGTTAATGCAATATTGTAAAAGCATGCGTTATTATCCAATTTGGATATGAATTATAATGTTTGAGAAAATGTGTAATAAGTTTTCATAAACCTTCTGTAAAGTTATAAAAGCAGACTTTACGGATAGTTTAAGCTTTGTCTCATTTAGGTTTTGAATTTTGCAAGTTAAAAAGAAAATAAAAAAAAATCAATGCTTCTAACCGATATAATAATTACAACTGTAATTAGTTGTACCTTTTATAAGAATAATTATATAATACATTAATAAATAATAGAAATTCCTCGCATAGTACGGTTTCGTCCAAATTCCAGTCAGGTTGTAATAGGACTAATCGAGGATTTTGAAATAAACTGCACAAAATAAGAGGTTTGACTAAAAAAATATGTGTTGCTCAATTAAAATTTATCTTCTTTTAAAATTTTCACTATAGTGAATCCGGATTGATTGAAGCCATACTTATTTGCAAATGAATTGATTCCTTTTGCAAATTGAGAAGGAAACAAGAAAATCGATGTATTGGATAAATAGAAAAGCACTAATCACTTACACTTGTTATGCGATTAATTACATAAATCAATGATAAAATACTATTGATTTGCTCAGATAAATGTGATCCTTTTGAAGCTGAGCCGAGGCTTAACTTTGCAATGTGAGAGGAGGAAACACGAAATTAGGATGTCCGAACGATTTCCATCGATTAGTCATAAAGGCTTCGTTGCAGGATGTGTGAGAGAGAGAGAGAGGGTGGTAATATTAATTGCGACGTTCGGAGCGAAGAAATGATCAATTTCACGCGACGTTTAATCCTCGAAGTAGCTTCAGATGGTTCCGAATGGACCGATCATCTAATTGTTAATGCGGATGTATCTATCTGGACACGGCTCTGGGTGAATGGGGGTGGAATGGCTCGGCACGTTTAATCCGCCGATTCCAATTACAGTTTCATATCCATAATCATCACGCGTCGCTAATTCACCATTCACACCGTCGCAGCAGCAGCAGCAGCAGCAGCATCATCATCATCACCGCCACCATTCACACGGCATTTGCCAGATTATTAAAACAGATACCCGAATTACTGCATCTCCTCTCCCGCACTATGCATTTCTTTTTTCTTTCTCCTTTCTCTCTCTCTCTCTCCACTCAGATCTCTCCATTCCATCCATTATTCTATTTCAATGCGGCACAACCGCAATCGCATTACCAGAACCATAGCTCTATGCAATCTAGCAGTGTCCCATTCAGACCTATACACACATAATGGACTATTCGTTTAACAGTCTGCTCCGCTTGACCATTTACTTCATATAAACGTAATACACATATCATTGTACTTTGTCGATAAATTTTGCATTCATACCTTCAACTATAACCACACGAAATTCACTTGAAATTCAAGCAAATCTACCATATACAGCAAAGTGCATTGGGTCATATAAATTACTGTTATAAATCCACACACACTTGATACATCTTCAGCAAAGAATTTAACAAATAGTAAAGAACTACAGTAGAAACATCCAATTGATTATCAAAAGAGAAAAATAAGAAATTTTAAGATTAAAAAAACCTTAATTTTGTTCTAAATGAACAAATAGAAAACAAAAATTATTACAAACATTTTATAAAAACAACAAAACGAAAATCAAAACATAAGTGGAAATATGTTTGAGTATGTACAACTCATATAATCAATATTTGCTATTAAAACATATTTGATAAACAAAAAAATAACTTTAGTAACAAAAGTCTATTAATGATCAAGGGGGAAAATATCTAGTTTACTATTACTTTGACAGCACCCAAAAATCAAAGGAAAATATTACGCAACTATAAAGCAATAAATAATTGCACTTTTACTTTGTTATTAAACCACATCAAAGGATACCGGACTTATGTGATCAACTAGCAAGCGCAAAGGGGGAGAGAGAAAGAGTTCAATCCGATTTGCAGGCTGTCCTGCAAAATGGATCACAGCTCTCTCTGGTCAACAAAAGCAGCAGCAAAAACGGATCATAACCGAAGCTTTTGACCTGAAAGCATGTGCATTGCAATGTTAAAAGATAGAAAATATGTGTGTTCCATTACCATTGCAAGCAAAATATGTTAGAGATCTGATTGAAAGGTTTAGATATATAAAGAATTGTGGTGTGTCTTCTCTTTATATGTAGCAATTTCAGGTAGACCAAAATCAGTTATTGAGAATGAATGGATTTGGTCCAAATTGGAGAAATATAATTATCTCAAATAAATATTGACAATGTTATAATTGAAAATGTATATTTGGATCATACTTGTTTGACTGTGATAAAATGATTATGTGTCAAACAAACATATGCATTCCATCTTCATACTTCCGTTCAGATTTGAGTCGAATTAGTTTCATGTTAAATGTCCGTAATCAGTCAATCCACGGGATTTGTAAGCTTTAATTTGTGTTAAGTTTATTCCATCCTGAGATTTTCAGTAATTTGTAACATGCGGAGCAGGATTTGCGTTCAAGTCGCGCAAATACACTGAATCATTTTGACGCGAGGGATTAGCGAATAGCGAAACGGAGCCTCCAAAATAACCCCCAAACACACACAAATTTCGTTTAATTAATACGATCGAATAAATGAAAGGAAATTTCTATCCGTAATGAACGAATATGATTATTACATCCTTCGACCCTTGAATCACGTCAGTCTAGACTCCTATCACTACAATAATAATAATTATAATTAAGTAGAAGGGACGGCAGGCGAGACGTTCTCTTAGTAATTAAAGTTATGCGATCGATGCGCATCCTCCTTGGGCTTTATTAAATCGCAGTTTCGCTGATATCCTTTGAGTTCTTGTAGGGAAAAAAAAAATGAAATTAAAATTTTAAAAAAAAGAACGCTAGGATTTCGTGCTGGGGGGTCGTTTAAAAAAAATGGAGGAGGGTGGTTTTTGGAGGGTGGATTGCGAGCACACGCCTGAAATTAATTCCGCACAGTTAACCCCATTCTCGGCACCGGCGTTTAATACTGGAGGGTGACGACATACACATATATACACCAACACACACACACACAGAAATCGCACCGCGTTAAATTAAAATCGCGTCGCCTCTTGCGTCCGAGTGGAGGAAGGAAGGAAGCAAGGACAAAGAAGAAATGTGGCGAGGAAAGCTGACTCAAAAAAAAAAAGAGTGTAGCGACCGACAGAAAAACGAAATCGATTCGAAGGAGACTGAAGCACTGATTTATTTTCGCTTATCAGCAAGGACGACGCAAACCGTTTCTTCTTGCCGATCCGAAAAGTTCGCAATCTCCTACACATCCATATAATCATATGAAATTCGAATCCATCTATTTGAATTTATCGACAATTGATAAATTGAAGATACCTTTGGCGTTGATGTTCTACAGAAATTATCAATTATGTCTTTAACTCTTTGAACATGTCCAGGCAAGAGGAATTATCCTTTAATTTGGTTGGTATGTCAAAGGATGAATCATAGTAGGCCAAACCATACCGATGTTGATTCAGTTGTCTAGAAATTTCTGGTCCTTCAGAAAGTTAAAACACAATTCGTAATTACTACATTAGTAATCTAAACTTACGTGGTCCAAATAAGGCAACTCTTTTCTAATATTGATTGTTAATATAAATACTGAAAGTTAAAAAATTGTTGAAAATATGTCTGATTTATAGAGGTTTTACTAATGTTATTTGTGTGTTTGCAGGAGACCTTCGCCTCATGCTCAAAGTCAGCCGGGACAATCGTCGCAGACGCAGCAACCTCAGCAACAGCAGCAGCAACATCATCAGCATCAGCAGCAGCAGCAACAACAATCGCCTCAGCCGATCAAGCAACCAAGTGGAATCCAGGAGGCCGTTTGCAATGACCCGGAAAACGTGGAGGCGTCCGCCGCGGCGCCGCCCGTTCACGTCCGGATCGCCGATCCACCGAACCGTCAACAAAGAACCGTGTCTCTTCCGGTTTCCCCTGCGGAACGACCCCAGAGGGTGCAATACAGCCAGAGCGAACGCTACGCGAGGGATGCCGCACCGAGATTGGCGCGTTCCAACAGCAGAAAGGAAGTTATTAAGAACTACATCAAACGCGAAACGGCCACGTTCTTCGGAGTGTGCGAGGACAATGAGAGGAGTCAGCAGGAGCGGTGGCTCGACAGGCGGAAACGTTTGGCATCAAGGTGAATCCAACCGAGATGACCCAAAAAAGTTTTAATAATTCCTTGTTTCTTCTTGTATAGGACTTACGGAGCGCTGAAAGAGGATTACCAAATACCTGGGGCCCGTCTGAGGCGGGTCGTTTCCGAAGCACAACGAGCACGGACTCAGATGAAACGCACGACGACGGAGAGGCCGGACGTTCTGCCCGGTCCAAGCGACGTCCCCGATTCCACAGCTCCGATCCCCGAGGAAGAGGGTCGCAGCAAGGACTCCGTTGCTCGCATGACCTGGGACGGTTTGTCCTACGTGGTCACCGTAAGTCCAATTTATAATTTCTGTCCGAGCTGAAGCTGAGAGGAAAAAAAACAAATATAAATACGTAACAACAAGGGAAACAAAACAAACAAACAAAATAAACAACAGCATGTAGAGTTGGGCATGAATAAAAAGTTTGAGGCTCACTCTGAATTATTTAATGGCCTGGAAATGCGCGCACGTCAGTCGGTGCTACTCTACCACCCAAGTAAAAACCCTCGCAAACTAAAACTAAACTAATTTGACATGAAAAAAATCATCCGGCTCTGTTGTTTAAAACAAAAATTAATTAATTTGCTACAAACCCATGTTTTATGCGTTTTCCCTCGTTCATTTTCATTTTTTTTACCCGTTTGTTATGGACAACGTTATTAATTGAAACTAATACATTTGGATCTTGTTCCTTTACTGGACAGGCTTGACGTTTGCATTATTTTATTTTGTTTTTGTCAAAACGCAAATAATAACAACTAGATCAAACATAACGTGCATTTTATTCAGATTGCTTCGATTTACTTTTTTTTGTTGTATAATACAAACTTTTATTTTATTCCTAATTAGAAATATTCTTTTGCTATAAGAAAATCAGGGTTGTTAAAATTAAAAAACTTTAACTAGCAGTAATTTTCATATACTTTTGTTGAAAATTCAATACTGTTTTTCTAGGTTTGATCTGACTTCATTAATGGATACATGAGAATCTTGTTTGTTAGCTGGAATGGTCGACGTTAGCGTTATTTGTTTTCTATATTTATTTTTTTTGAGGGTGAACCGGAAATAATAGTCGAAAGCAAACGTAATTTCACGTTTATATTTGCATTTTCCGCTATCCTTAATTAACGAGCTCTAACCTGCTCGAATTACGTTTGCTGCCGTCAGAGTCAACAAACAGCAATTGGTTTTCTCTTTCCATTTCTGTTCTTGTTTTCGTTACGCTCTTATCCTTGCAACCACTCTCATATCTTTCTTTTCTTAGCTTCGGTCGTTTGTTGTTTTGTTTGCAGACACTCACCAGACATCAGCAGCGCGAAAGATCTCAACGATGGTCACGTAGCTACCCACCGGAAGTGCCCAATCAGGGCAGGCTGAGTCAGGAGGAAGGGACGTTCTTCTCGTGTCCGGTTCCGTCCGCTCCACCGCTGGAGGAGGAACCTCTTCCAGCGCCGGTCGATCCCATATTCAGGGGCGGAATACACGTGGCCAATGATTTAGAACCATTAAGGCACCATCAGGATATAAGGTGATCAGTTGAGATGTTCGCAATTGCAAGAACGAGAACGTTGCAGAATTTGTAATTTTACTAATTTCATCTTTATTTATTTGAATTTTAGATACATGAGAGGCAGCGGCTGGAGGAGAGATCCGCACACAGTTTCAAGAGGAGAACAGACTGGACCAACTATTGGTGGCACAAGAATTTATACTAGTGTTTTAGATAGGGTTTTGGACAATTCGGATAGGAGACAGTACGGAATGGGATGGGTCGGAAAGTTCTTCGGGTAAATTCGCAATCTTTCTTCTCTACAATGATTGATTGTTAATTAATTTTATTGCTTAGGCGATCGTTCAAGAAATCCGTTACCAACGATGAGCAGGTGCGAGAGCAATTGGACGACATGGAGGATTACAGACCGATGTTCACTTATTGGGTGACGACGGTGCAGATCCTCGTGCTAATCATCTCGGTGATCTGTTACGGTTTCGGGCCGTTCGGAATCGATCTGGAGACGAAGTCCGGTCAGGTGTTGGTAACCAGTCTCTCCCTGCAGCAGGTCGACTACAAGGAACCGGCGAACTTCTGGTTCGGTCCTCGGGCCGCCGATCTGATACATCTGGGCGCGAAGTTCGCGCCCTGCATGCGGGTGGATCGGACCATCCTGCAGAAGATCGAAATGACGAGGGCCAAAGAACGGGAGACGGCCTGCTGCATCCGCAACGACGACTCCGGGTGCGTGCAATCATCGCAAGCGGATTGTTCAGTAAGTTCAAAATTCTTTCACAAAAAAAAAAACCTTGTATTTATTGTTGTCTCGTGGAATTGTCATACTAAACATTAATTCCTTTAAATTGTTTGCGAACCAACTGGTCCGAGGACTAAGGCCGACGGTAAGAACATTTAGCGTGCTTCAACATAAATGCTTAACGCAGATAAATATATGGTTACATCATTATGTTTTTTATTTGTTCTGTTTAGAAAATTATATCGACGTGGAAGAAATGGTCTGCCGGCGAATCCGGTCCAGGAGGTCGAATTTCCGGATCCGTTTGCGGATTGGATCCTAAGTATGTTTGCTGATTGATCCATCGATCAAACATCAAGTCCTTATTTGTTACTTCTGCTCAGGTTCTGCGATGCTCCGGCCAGCGTCCATCCCTACGTCTGGCCAGACGACATAACCAAATGGCCGATTTGCAGGAAAACAAATACTCAATCTTCGGTGCAGAAACGTGGGCCTAGAGATCATCTGGCCGAGCACATGGTCTGCGAGGTCATCGGACATCCCTGCTGCATCGGCATCCATGGACAGTGCAGGATAACGACAAGAGAATATTGTGATTTCGTGCAGGGAACGTTCCACGAAGAGGCATCACTTTGTTCACAGGTTTGATTTTGCTACATTTATAATTACATTTTGATATTATGAATGTGTTATTTTTTGCAGGTCTCTTGCTTGAACGACGTCTGCGGAATGATTTCATTTTACTTCTTCGAAACGCCCGACCAAATTTACCGCCTTTGGACGTCGATGTTCCTGCACGCCGGCATCCTGCAATTAATACTCACCATCTTAATACAGTATTTCCTGATGAGAGATCTCGAGAAGCTGACGGGAAGCCTCAGGATAGGCATCATCTACATGGGTTCAGGCGTTGGCGGGAATTTAGCCAGTTCCATCTTCGTTCCCTACAGAGCAGACGTAAGTACACACAATACAATAGAATTATTAATACAGTCTTGCTTTTGATATTAGTATATATTAAATTCTCATTTTATAATTTCATTTTCCTTTTTTTATTAGACAAACGTTTTATTCTTTAATCAGTTTCTTAAACACTTCCTAACATAAGTGGTTAAGTGATTGACACATCTTTTTTTGTTAAATTTATCAAATTTAATCCGATAATAGTAACAGTTGCTCATTTTTCTTGTATTGATTGACTTGTCTTGAATTAGAGATTTGTAGCAGCAATTAGTAAACTGTAATTGTGATGCATTTTTATCAATTACTGGAATGATCATAAATTCTTGTAATTAATACGAAATGAATAAGACATAACACATACACTACAAATGTTGGTATATAATTAGTAATTAGATTGGGGTGTCATATTTTTTAGATTATTTGAATGATGACAGTGAAGATTACCTAACAACAACAATAGCGCTTTTCTCATTAATAATTCTAATGGAAACAATGTTTAATATGTTCTAAATTGTGTTTTATTTGTTTTGTAGGTTGGTCCGGCAGGTTGTCAATTCGGTTTGCTTGCCTGCTTGATCGTGGAGGTGATCAACTCGTGGCCGATGCTGAAGAAACCGCGAAGAGCTCTGGGAAAACTGCTAGGAGTAACGTTCGCCCTGTTCCTGATCGGCCTGCTGCCCTGGGTGGACAACTACGCCCACCTCTTCGGTTTCTTCTTCGGATTCCTGCTGTCGTACGCGCTGCTCCCGTTCGTCTCCTTCGGCCCGTACGATCGAAAGCGTAAGGTCGTCCTGATCTGGGTGTGCCTCCTTTCCGCAGGATTCCTCTTCGTCGCCCTCATCCTGCTCTTCTACATATTCCCGGTGTACGACTGCAAGATATGCTCGTACCTGAATTGTTTGCCGCTGACGCGGGACTTTTGCGCCTCTCAGAACATCAACTTCATGCGCGAGGAACCCGTGGTATGACGAACGGCGTTACGGTTTCTCCGGACCGTAACTTCGCCCCTTACTTTCGCATTACTTTCTTATTACTCCACCAAATGTAACCGACATGTAATAAATCCATTCAAGTAATTATTATATACCCTTACAAATTACTCACTGCAAATTATTATTATATATATATATATAAATCTTCTCCGATTCGTTTACGTTCACGCATCTCTTTGTCTATTTCTATATAATTCTATCATCGGTGGAAACGTGCATTCATTCAGACATAATCTCAGTGCAACCTCCCTTAAACCAGAGTAAGCAAAGAGTAAGAAATAAAAAATATATAATATAATAATAATATTATTATACAAGAAATCTCTCTAAAATATATATATATAAAATGCATAAAATATATAATATATATTTCTAGTTTGTCGATATACAAATTACTAAATATATGGAGGAAAAAATGGTAAAAATAAAAATTATTAAATTACAATATTGTATCATAATATTTAAACAACAGTGTGTGGTGTGGGAAAACGTAACTATATAAATATATTTAAACAAGAAAATATATATGTATAAATATATAATACAAGAATTATAATATATATATATATTATAAATCGCGCGAGAATTATATTTGAAAACACGAGAAAAATATATTCACATAATATTGTATAACAATGAGGAGTTAAAAGAAAACCACGAGAATATCATAAGATTATGATGACACGAAGGAGTTTAAGGTAAAAAATGAAAAAAAAAAAATAATGTGATAAAGACGACGATGATGAAAAGGCGAACGAGGGAAGTAACTTCGAGTAATTCGAGAATATTAAAAAAAATAATATCTGTACTTAATTATTTACTTTGTAAGATGTTATGTGCAATGATACATTCCGTTTTAGTTGGCAACGAATATAGTTCATGAACGCGCTAAGAATCTCTCTAAAAATGCAAAAAAAAAGTAATAAGTTATTAAAAAAAAAGTAATAAAATAATAATAATAAATAATAACGATACAAATCTTTTATATGTAATTAATATTAATTTTTTTGTACGTAGCTTTTCGGGTGTATTCATCCGCGCGCGCTCCGTTTCTTTCGATTTCGACGTGAAATTTTGAATGTGAACGAATTTCGGTGGATGAACGCACCCGGCAATATCCATTATAACAAAAAAAAAAGAACCCTTCAAACACCAGCCTCCAACCCATCCACCGAGCCCAAAAGAAACCAGACCGCATTTATAAACTTTAACGTAATTGAGTGTTCAAAAAAAAAGGAAAGGAATGGTTAAATATTGTATATTGTGATTGTTTGTTGTGGTTTATTGGACACGTCTCAACAATTATAAATATAATTATATATTATATAAATAAATGAATCAGTTTATATACATAATGATATGAGATTATGTACGTATGATGAGGAAGTAAAAAAAAAATATTGAATGGTGGTGGTCCGTGTGTAAGAGGATTGAACAAAGAAATATTTTCATCACTTTAGATGTTAAAGGAAACCAAAATATAATTAATATTATTATTATTACTACGATGATGATGATCGAGCTGGAATGACTGTGAAGTGTTTTCTCGGTCCATTCCGTTTAGCGTTTCATGATATGTATCCTAGTTTTTAATTACTGATCTGTATTACTATTACTTAAACGATATTGTCGCCCCCTCGTATATTTATTTATATAATTTAATAATTGTACGTGATATATATTTTTTTCGTTTCGTTTAAATATTTTTACGTTTTTTTTTAAATCTTTCTTTGTGTCCTGAGAAAAGATGAAGAGCATCCTCCTTTATTGAACATATATTTTGGAAAATTTTGTAGTGTTGTATAAAATAATAAACAAAAAAAAATATATATAATAAATTGATGATGAAGAAAAAAGTTAATGATGTAAAGAAGAAGGATCCGGCGAGTAATTGTAACACTTTTTTTTTTTGGGATAAACAGATGAGGAGGTGAAAGGAATAAAGGATATTTGAATCATTGATTATAATGAATGGTTGAATGAACAATTGTGTAAATATATATATTATACATTACAATATATACATATATTTATTGCAGTTTTACTTCTTTTTATTTTCTACTTATTATTTCTCATTTAATCTTTTCTTTTGCGTTTCTCTAACTCTCTCCACTTGGATTTCGCACTTTTTTCCGATCTCGTTTTCCGATTTCATTGTACTTAAGACTTATTAACTAACTAATAATAATATATATATATTCGATTTATTTATTTTTCTTCCTTTTTTGTAAATAGGTGAATGTTTGTAATGAGCTCGTTGTAAATAATCTAATCAGGTGTTATATAATCTAAGACCAAGCCTTAAACAATTATTATTATTATTATATGGTAACGAGAAACTAATAAGAAATAAATTACTTCTGCACATACTGAAATGCGTGGATTTCTTTTCTCGGCTTTCAGGCTCTTCGGTTTTTTCGATGTTTTCGGTGCGACGCGATTCGCCCTTCTGTGCTGAAAGACTTCTACGAACCAGAGGACCATCGAGATGCAGCATCCGATGATCAGCATCACGAATGCGTTGGAGGTTTCCAGGAGACCGATGCTCTGGAAACCTCCGCCGCGACTGTAACATTTCGGCGTGCGGACGTATCGAAAGAAGTTTCTTCTTTGAATTCCGTATTCGTCGATCCTCAACAAGCTAAAATACATATTTAGTAATAGTATAAATAAAGGTGTGATTAGTGGAAATTGTTGATGAGAATATGAATGATGTCAATACCCAACTTTGAAGATTTTCTTGTAGGGAGAGTTTTTGGGAACCATGGTGTATCCACGCATGTGCTAAAACCGTACAATTAACACTGGGAAATAGGTAAATGGATTAAGATACTTCGGTGTAACCGGGCATGATTTGTATGCGACAGGTTTCGTGTTCGTCGAAGTTCGCAGAGATATAATCGAAAGCAGCGGCAATCTCGCAATGGAACGCGAAGAATTCGTTCCGCATCTTCCTCATTCCATCATCCAAAGTATAATAACCTTTTGGGCCTATCTTCCTTTCATACAGTTCAGCTTGAATCTTTAACTTCGATTTTTCCACGTAGTGTCTCATGTAAATGGTGTCCATAGCACCAATCCTTATATTCGTGTCGAGAAGAGCTTTGTACGTGTTAATGTTGTAGGTGGACTGAAGGACTACAATGATGTAAGCAGAGTAGGAAGAGTATATGAACATGAAGGCTATGAAGAAGAAGAGGACCAAGATGCGACTCGGCGTGGATTCGGGCTCAACCAAAGTCCCTTGCTGACACATAACTTCAGTGGTTACCAGCATCACATCAGACAAAGAGAATCTACCTTTCTGTGAAAACTGTAAAGAAATATAACATAATAACAAGAGAAAACCAGTAAATTTTGCTTTAATTTACTCGTTTATTAGTTTTCGATTCCCAGTTGTAAGCTACGTAGATTGCAACAATGAAAATCATTACGGTGATGCCTAAGCACATCCAAACGTTCGCATTGAACGGCAACGTGAAGATATTGTAAACTAAAGAAATCGGTGGTTTTTTCATCACGAATTGCACGGTAAAGGGATTCTGCATTTTGATGAAATCCACAACTTCGAAACGCGGTGCGGTGAAGTAAGGTGAGGTGCCGGACAACTGTATTTTTTTGTGTTGAATCATCTCAACTAAACCGTCCCAAGTTTTCGTGGTCTCATTGTAATAACCCCAAGTATCTGCTGGTATAACAGTCATGTTTATGTTGCAGTACTCAATCAAAGCCTTTATGGCTCCAAAATTTTGTTTAGTGAACGTATCTATCCTCGGGTACCTAAAATAACAACAAGTAATAATTTAAAATTTAACGCAATAGAGGATAAAAGACTTGAAATCATCCAAATGCTTCCACGAATCGATCTCATTAAACAAGAATCCAACATCCAAGTTAGTGAGGTTCAGATCATGTCTACGAGATGTTTTTGGTATCATCTTCGTTTCATGTAACGAACAGTTCCACACGCCAAAATCCTCCCAAACTACACACAAAAATAATACAAGTACAAATCTAAACTTTCTTTGTAAGAATCACCAACCAGCATCACTGATTTTGTTTATTCGGTACGGCTTTAACAGTTGAAAATCACCAGTTACAAGTCGCTTAGCAACTACAACATCGCTGCTAGGTAATATATTGTAATTATTCATCTGTTCTTCTAAACGATTTTTAAAATTTTTTTCGTCAACCAACAAAACGAATTTCAAAGGCCACCTGAATTCCAATAAATTATCCACCTATAAAACACTTTGTAATTCACTTTGATAATTCTTACTATTCGTTTAATACATCATTCAAGATTTTCCAAGAGCTTTCACAATCGTTCAAATCCAAAACGAAAACGTTATCATTGGATAAATGATCGAGGAGATGAAACCTGTTTTTGTTCTTCCTATAAATTGCAATTTGCTTACTCTCGTGATTATCACGTAACATTTGGTAAATATCACCTGAAAATAATTATATAATTTAAACCTGTAATTTGATTACCTAAAGCTAATTGTTCATTGATATTTTGTAAATAAATTTAGTATAAAATCTGTATAATTTATCTTATATAATCTTACCAAATTTCCAACAGAGATGCATTGTAATGGTGCACGGTTTATTCAAAAAATAGTCGTAAAGGAATGATCCGAACAAATGATCTGCAGTAATTGGAGCGCAGAATAGGAGCAAGGTGAAAAAAGTCAATTTTTCGTTCATCGTTTCGTTCAACCCCGAACGATGTGACAAATATTTCTGAATTTATTTTTGGGTCGCTTTGTGTAATAATAAACTGGACGATATTAATCAAGATCTGTGAGTTGATTAATGATGTTCTGTTTATTTTGGAATGGAGATAATTGGATTTATTGCTTTGGGAAAACGCGCAGCTGGGACATGCACAGACCAATCTTGCTTGCTGCCCACTACCACTAATTGTCCCACGCTTTGTCCACTTCACATCACATTTAAATATTTATAATAAAACAATTAATAATGTAATTAAAACGATAACAATACTAATTTACGTTTGTTTTTTGTGTTCTGTGAATAAAATTGAGTTCACCTTTATTGAACGTATATTTCGGAAAATTTTCTACTGTTATAAATAATAAATTAATCGAATAATAAGTTGAAATAAATTTATGAAGAAGATTAATTAATAATGTGCACTTTTTCTTAATTTACATATACTTAAGACTAATTAAATATTCGATTAGTGAATGTTGATATTAAGCTCATAATTAAACTAATCAAGACTTACTTAAGCTAAGACCAAACCTTAAATAGTAATTATTATTCTACTCAAAATCAATTACTTCTGGCGATTCTGAAACTTGCGGATCATTTTTCTCGCCTTTCGTGCTCTTTGGTTTCATCGATTCTTGATTAGCTTTGCGATTTGCTCTTCTGTATCTAGCGACTTCCACCATCCAGAGGACAAAAGAGATAGAGCATCCTCCGATTAACAACATGAAAGCGTTGAAGGTTTCCAGAAGACCGACGCTCTGGAATTCTCCACCGTGAACGTAACATTTCGGCGTGCGAAAATATCGGTAGTAATTTCGTTTTTGAATTCCGTACTCTTCGATCCTCATCAACCTTAAAAAAGATAAATAAGAATCTTCACAATCTTCTACGAGTTTAATATAATTCAATTAATTTAATTTAGTTGAAAATATGAATGATTACAGTACCCAACTTTGAAGATCTTCTTGTATGCAGAGTTTTTGGGAACCATAGTGTATCCTTGCATGTGCTAAAACTGTACGATTAACACTAGAATTATAAAAGCAAAACTGAGATACTTCAGTATATCCATATAGAGTTTGAATGCGACAGGTTTCGTGTTCGGTGAATTCCTTTGAAATGTAGTCGAAAGCGGCGGCAATCTCGCAATGAAACGCAAAGAATCCACTCTGCACCTTCTTCATGCCTTCTTCGAGCGAGTAGAATCCTTTTGGTCCAATTTTTTTCTTATACAGCTGGGCCTCAATCTTCGACTCGGATTGGGACACGTAGTAAGGCATGTAAGTAGTGTTCATCGCACCCACCTTCATCTGAGAGTGGATGAGAGTATGGTACGAGGTGATCTTGAAGGTGGATTGCAGAACAACAGTGATGTAAGCGGAGTAGGAAGAGTAAATGAACATGAAAGATGTAAAGAGGAAGATGACTAAGATGCGGCTCGGCGTGGATTCGGGCACAGTTAAAGTCCCTTGCTGACACATAACTTCGGAGATTACCACAATCACATCGGAGAATGAGAAACTGCCTTTCTGCGAAAACTGAAAACAAACAACATAGTTTAACAACTAAAGAAAATCAGCAAAGTTTAGTTTACATTGATATTAGTTCTCGATTCCCAGTTGTAAGTTATGTAGATTGCAACAACGAAAATCAATATGGTGATGCCCAAGCATCTCCAAACGTTCGCATTGAACGGTAACGTGAAGAGGTTGTAAACCGAAGAAACTGGTGGTCTTTTCATGACGAATTGTATGGTCAAAGGGTTCTGCATTTTGATGTAATCCACCACTTGGAAGCGTTGCGCAGTGAAGAAGGGCGACGATCCAGATATCTGCACCTCATTGCTTCTGACTTTCTCAACTAAACCGTTCCAGTTCTTCGTGGTCGCGTTGTAATAACCCCAGACATCTGCCGAGACAATTGTCATGTTGATGTTGCAGTACTCCATCAAAGCCTTTATGGTTAAGTAATTTTGTTTGGTGAACGTGTCTATCCTCGGATATCTGAAATATCCACTCATCAAATTTGATTAATTAACTGTTGAATTAAAGACTTGTAATCTTCCAGATGGTTCCACGTGTCATTGTCATCGAATAAAAACCCAACGTTCATATTGGTGCCGTTCAAATCGTGTCTACGATCGGATAAATGCAATAAGACCGGCGACTTCTTGAAAGTAGAATTCCAAAACCCGAAATCTTCCCAAACTACAAACGTAATAATAAACCTTAAAGATATAAACATTAATTGCAAGAATCACCAGCATCGTTGTTTCTACTAATTCGGTAAGGTTTCAGAAGATGAAAATCACCATTATCAATTCGTTTAGCAACTAGAACATCGCTGCTTGGAAATATATTGTAACCATTGATACTTTCTTTTAAGCGAGTTTCAAAGTTTTCTTCATCAACCAACAAAACAAATTTCAAAGGCCACCTGAACTCCAGAAAACCGTCAATCTACAGAACACGTGAAAAATTCATTCTTGTATTTAGTTTCATTACGTGTTACTTTACATCGTCCAAAATTTTCCAAGAGCTTTCGCAATCGTTCATATCCAATACGAAAATGTTATCAGTGGATAAATGATCGAGGAAATGAAACATTTTCTTATTGTTCCTATAAATTGCAATTTGTTTGCTCTCGTGATTAGTTCGTAGCATTTTTAAAATATCTCCTGCAAAATCAATAATTAATTACATATATTTTCAAAAGATTAATTTTTCACTTAAAAACTTTATCATATTTTTTATAATTTTAATTGCAAATAATAATGATATAAATAAATAATTTTTAAATCGATCAGTAAATGATATAGTTTTCATAAACTAGGAATAAGTATAGATTTTGAATCAAGAAAGTAAGAACTGTGGTAGTTCTAAATTTTATATAATAATATTAAAATGTTAATAGTTTTTTCCAATTTTTGTTGAATTTATCAGAAACTATTAAAAGAAATGTTTGGAAATAACTATGCCAATTCCTTATTTTATTTTAAAATAACAAAATTCTAAGCTAAGATTTTCTTACAGTTTTTAACTTTAAATATTTTTTTTAATAATAGAAATAATACTTACTATAACTAATTAAAAAAAGTTTAATTTAACTATTTTTTTTGTAAATATTCTTACCAAATTTCCAACACAGATGCATCGTGACGGTGCATTGTTTATTGGAAAAATAGTCTTCGAGAAATGACCCGTAAAGTTGTTCTCCGGAAATCTGTGCGCAGAATAGGAGCAACGTGAAAAAGGCAATATTTTCGTGCATCCGCATGTTATGTTCGACACCCGTCGAGGTGACAAATATTTCTGATTTTTATTTCCGCCCAAACGTGCATAATAAACGGACCGATATGAATCAAGATCATCTGATTAATGATATTGTGTTTATGTTGGAACGGAGATAATTGGATTTATTTCTTTGGGAAAACGCGCAGCTGGAACATGCAAAGCTCAATCTCGCTGCCCACTAATTGATTGATCCACGCTTTGTCCACTTCACTTTATTCGTTACACATTAATAACATAATAATATAATAATGTAATTAATACAAAAATAATAATTAATTAATTAATTATATATAAAAAAAACATGTATAGTAAATAAAGACCAGAATATATTTAAATATAAATAATAATAACTCTATAATATTTACACAATTAATAAAAAATAAAAATATATATATATTTGCATATGTATTTATGTATAGAAAGAAAAGGAGAAAAGTATTCATATTTATTTGTTTTTCTGTTCGGAGGAAAAGACGGAAAAGAAGATTCAATCAATCAACAAAAAAAAGTATGCAAAAAACTTTCTTCGTTTTCTTTTCTTATTTTTTTTTTGTTTGTCTCAAAGGGCGTCATCAAAAGGAGGGCGGGATTTGGACCCGGTCGAAATCCAGCCCTCTGTTTTGATCACGCTTAAGGAAGTGTAATCCTTCCCGCTTTTATGGCCTAATTGAAGTGAATTTCTGTTTGCTTCTAAATCCTTCATCTTCTTTTACTTCTTCTTCGTATTATATTATTTTAATTCCGTTACAATATTAAAATTAATTTCGAACGTTCACACTAATAATAAATAAATAAACCATTCACACGCACGCACGCACACACAATAAGGCACTTTTGATTCTTCCTTGAGCTTCAACACTCAACGGGACGAAGGACGTCTCTTTGCTGCTGCTGCTACTAATGATGTTGATTGCTGCTGCTGCTGCTAAAGTGATTCGAATCCTGATATGTCGCTTCCCTGCAATGTGTTTGAGTTTTTGTTTCTGTTTTAGTCATATGCCTTTTTTTTAGTCATTTCTGCAAATTTGTTTTACCCTGTCTGGTTTGTACAAGTGCGTGTGGGGTAGCAAGAACGTCGAACCCAAATCCCTCTCCGCCATGGTATTTGCCTCCTGCAAAACCAAAAAGAAAGAAGTGTTAAATCAGATACGATTAATAGAATTGTGTAAGTACATCGTGATGGTGATGCGATGATTTCGTGTCGTAATCGCTTCGTAAAGTCTTCGTCGGTGGTTGGATTGTCGTTTCGTCGTAAGAACGAGATTCGGATATTGTCCTGAAACGATTAACAATTAAATCAAATTACACCTCAATTGTTGTTGTTCGTAAGAAACTCACTGTATTCTTGGCGTTATGTCGAGCCAGTTCTCTAGGATTTCTTCATCGGTGTCGCTGCAAAAGCAAACCAAGCCATGTTAAATCTGTTTTTATTACCTATTTCGTATTTCTTACGCAATCGATTTCCTCAGAGTGTTGAACTGCGACGGAGTGCCTGTACTTGAGAGTAAATCAGCACTTATTTTCTGAATCAGTGTTGCGTTTTCGCTGCGATCCGCTTCCGTGCCGCAAGTGGTGCCCAGCGTGCCCATATTAGGTCCAACAGTTGCGGACACTTCGAATCCAGCCGATACCAAAGCTCCTAGAACCAAATCACAAATGTTATAAATAAATCGAAAGCAATTTAAACTAATGATCATACCTGATGTTTTTCTGGATCCGGCGTAGCTGTCACTTGCCCTGCTGAATTTCCTCTGGTCACCTTTGTTAGGAGATGGACCGGCATCCAAGTAACTCAGCAATTTAGCCTCGTTGCTGCTCCCAGCCGACATCTTCCTCTTCTCAAAATTGCTATTCTTGTTGACTTGAGGTGATGTTGGCGGAGCCGGATGGTACTTGGCTCTTGGGATCATGACAGTTAACGAACGGTCCTTTTGGTCTTCGTATTTGGGCTTCTTGAGGGCTCCTTTGATTGGAGCTTTCTTTGGCACGTACGGAAGCGTATCGGAGTGACCAGATTCGGAACTGCTGTCCTGTATCATGGCCCTCCTGTCGATCGTACTGCCTCTTCTAACCGGAACCCTTTGTGGTAAGAAACTCATCGGATTTTGCTTCGGTTTCCGTTTGGCGCAGGTTATCACTATGCAAATCATCAATAGAGTGAAGAGTATTGCTCCTAGCGTCACTAAAGCAATCAGCAGCACTGCAACGACAATGAAATTAATAATAAAATCACTAAATTTTCAATCTATTTTACAAACCTTTAAGATTGACTTGGCATGAATCTCCAGCGTACCATTGGAAGCACTCGCAAAGGATTTGATCGTCGTCTCTGGTGTAACAAGTACCATGGTAATGGCACTTCTCACATCCTATCAACTCTGCAGAGCAAATCCTACCTGGGTACAGCATATTCTCGGAGAGATCCGCGAATCCTTCGCGACAACTGCAAGTGTACGTTCCTCGCAAATTGAAGCATTGCGAGTGTTCGGAGCAATCGTGGAATCTGGAATCGGAACATTCATCGAAGTCTTCGGCTCGCAAATGGTTCAAAACTTCTTTGGAAGCGTAGACATCGGTTCCACCCAAACTGTAATTGTTATTCCTCAGATACTTCTTGAAGACATCCTCCAATCGAGTTTGATCTGTATTATCCGAAAGCTACAACAAAATCATCATTTGAAATAACATATCTATTATAATAATTTATATTAATTTATGTACTATCTTTTAATTAACATTTGATGTAAATATGGTAAAATATAAATGTTTAATGCATACTTGTAAAGTGAATATATTTAAAACAGCATCGGAATCGGCTAGAGGTTCGTATTTCTTCACGCTGACACCGTGATAGATGTCCCTGAAATCTGACTGCATGACCATCCTATGTAACCCATCCTGCGTGGCTTCAGCGAGTTTCAAAAATTGCGTACTCGAAGTATCGTTGAGGGAATCCGAGTAGTGCAATTTATCCTTTCCATGCCTATCCAAGACTATGTTCAAAGTATACGTGTACGTTGCTGCAACATAAAATAATAATGAATACCATAATCGAATATAATCAAGATGAATTTGTATCATACGTTTACACGGTCTATCCGGGAACATCCTTGCAAATCCTGGCCTGCAGACGCATCTCATAACACCCTCCACCCTCTGGCACAGCTCATTCCTAGAGGGCTTGCACTCTGGCAAACACTTATCGCTGATAATGATGTTCGTGTCGAGACTTGGTGGATGAGCGATTATAATTTCTCCACTCAGAATGCGATTCACCTCGTTATTTGCGATCATCTCATCGCGATGTTGAGTCTCGCGATTCTCCTTGGGAATCTTCACGATGCTTCCTTGGTTCTTATCGTTCATAACGACGAAGAAAGATTCACTATCGTTGGACGGTTCCTCAACGATTGGTGGATCGGTATCTCGGATAATGAAATCTTCCAACTCGTCTTCGCTGCTCGCAGTACCTTCGATGATGATCGTAGGTTCAATTGGTTCGATAACCGCAGTGGGTTTAATTGGATAAGCTCCGTAAGTTGCGTCGCTTGGATACAAAGAAGAAGTGGATGGTTTTATCGTCGTGGTGATGGTTTCTGCAATAGTCGTCGGCTTCAGCAACGTATGGAATTCGGTTATTGTATCAACGATGTTGCTTTGAACGGTCGTTGTGATTAATCTTGTGATAGTAGATGGTGGACCACCCAAACTTTTAACAACAGTTGTTATGGTTATTGTTACAGTTGACGTTTGCGTGGGTTGAATTGGTTTAGCATTGATCGGCCTCTTGAATATGGAAGTAACAACCCTTCTTCTAGTCGTGGTAGGCACTGGTAACTCGAGTTCTACAGTTTCCACGGTACCAGTTGGTAAAATAGGAGTATGCTTCAAAGTAGGTGTTACTTCATTTCTAACTACCGGTTTCACCGATTCCTCAATTACAATTTGTTTAGGAGTAGTCGCTTCAGTGGTAGTTGTCGTTGTATGTTCAGTTGTGGTCGTCGTTGTTTCCTCGACCACTTCAGTAGTCGTTGTAACAACATTCGTTTTGTTTCTCACAATTTCCGTGTAATTGAACTTACTTTTTATCATAACTTCCTGTATTTTGGTGGTATTCAGATTATCGCTGATCTTAGTCCTATTCATTTCAGTATAAACGCGAACGGGCTTCAAAGTAGTTGTGGTCACTTCTTCTTGCAACTTAGTGTTGTTTCTACGAACTTCCAAATACGGTTTCCTTGTAATTTCAAAGTAATTTGGAGTTGTTCTGTTGCGTTTAACTTCCGGATAATGAATAGTCACCTTAGGTTTATTCGTTATCGTCGGTGTTGTTGTTGGTACAGTTTGATCCCAGTAAGTTTGCAATTTAGTGAGTGGAGATTCTGTTGTTCTTCTTGTGGATGGTCTCCTGATTCGCACAGCTTGCGTTGGCACCGGTTTCGGTGGATGCATTTCGATCGAGTAATTAGGTTTAACCGGAGGTTTCATACCAATAACTTCGTTGATTCCTTGTAAATAAGGTCTCGGAGTGTTCGCTTGAGTTTCTAAGTCGGTTGGTGTTAACACTTCGACTTTGGGAGGAACCATGTTTACCTCTGGTACAATCGGCGGTGGTGGCTTCATTATTTCTATATCGTACATTGTGGTATTAGCGAAATGCTCGTTGATACTCTCGATTTCGCCGATGTTAAGTTTGTACTTCGGTGTGCTGTTGATGACCACGTTTTGCGTTCCAAAGTAATTGCTTGTGGATTTGGTGTAAACGCGATTGAACGGTTGCTCCGTTTGAGAGGAGGGATTTGGTCCTGGCTTTGGTTTGGTATCAATGGGCAAAGAGGTGATCCTCGGTCTTGTCGTGCTGTATCGTTTCCTTTCAGACGTTGGTGGTGGTCTGGTGTATTCGAACACGTTAGCATAGATATTTGGACCTGGCTGAATAATAACGTTGGATTCTTTGTGGTTAATCTGGTTGGTTTGCTGGTTCTCAGGTCTGACGACAATTCCACCAGCTGAAGAAGCGTTCGACACTTTAATTTCCGAAGATACACCAACACCTTTATTATTGATAACGCGAATCGGTTTCCTGTACGTTTCTATAACTTCCGGTAATTTTCCTTTAGTAATCGTGCTGTGGTTCGCTACCAGATTCGGCTGTACCTGTATAGGTTTTGCAACAACTTCGGGCCTTTGCACAACTGTATTTGGAACGTGACTTTCTCTTACGTAGACTTCCTTGTTGCTGCTTCCCTGAGAAACAGTCGGTTTCTTGTTAGACGTTGTCTGCAAATGGATATTTCCCTCGATCCTGCTACCGAATACATTCTGCACAATCGGAGGTCGAGGCTGCAATACCACGCCCGGATTAACGTTGTTCGTTGGTTCTTTAACAACGTGCTGCGAAACTATCGGTTTAACGTAATTGCTGAACTCGTGCGAAATGATCAATCCAGCATTATCGTTTGGTTTGATATTGTTAACAGGAGGTTGCGGTTTCTTGAAGTTTCCTTCGCGGATTGGAATCCTATTTGTTGTTGGTACAATCCTCTGGGTGGTGGTTTCGTGAATGATAATTTCATTGGTAACTTGTGGACGACGAATTTCGTTTTCTTTGGGTACTCCTTCATGAGCGTTCGGGATAAACTGAACTGTCGGTCTCTGTACTTCGCCTTGGTTCAATTTAATTCTATTCACCTGAGGATGTTGCTGGAATTTGTTGTCCGGATTTGATGGCACGGTGAACAAGTTTCCTCCGGGGTTGTAAATGCTCGGTGCAATAGTGAATAACGAAGTGGGATACGTTCCGTTGAAGACAGTAGGAGGTATAGTGTATGAACCATAGTTATTGTTCTTCGTGTTGGTAAATTGCTGATTACCATGTGGTGGATAACGAGTTTGAACGTTACCATGAGAAATTGATGGTCGTTCTGGATATCTATGCACGTATTGATTATTCGGTGGATACCTGAGCACTCCCATGTTATTGTTGCTAGTAGGAATTGGTCGTTGGTATGGAATATCCATGGGTTTAATACGAACGCCGAACGGTACTGTGGGTCTGTTAATTTCTTCGTTCGGTTTGATCCTGTTGATTGGTCTCGGTTCGCTCGGGAATTTAATAAAGTTTGGTTGCGGCCTTGGAGTGTGGTGCACCGGTTTTGCTTGATTCGTGATCCTGTGCTCTGGATACACTTCGTTGGTCAATGGTGGAGGGGTCGTCGATCTGCGATCGAAAGGTCTTGGCTGCTCGATGTTCGGCTTGAAATTGATGATTTCGTTTTCTTGAGCGTAATTCGTGGCATTTGCTTTCAGCACCTCGAACGGCACCTGTCCCGGAATAAGAGGTCTACTGTTAGATTCTTGGATAACTTCTCCTGCTTCATTTGGTAAATCGTCATCAGTGTGATCACCAATATCATCCAAATTGATTGGAATAGAAGGACGATTGTAAGCGCCTTGCATGGGTGGAGGTATCAAGTAATCCTTCAGATCGGGTAATGGTGGTCTTGGTCTATGTTGATTTGCATGTTTATCAATGTTGAATGGTAATGATGGAAGCTGAACGTCCGCATGGTTTATAATGTGACCACTGAAATCGTTTCCTTGATTCATCAAGCTGAAGGATAACGGTGGGACATCAACGTTAATATCGTGATTGTTGACGTGAGATTCGATGTGGATGAGCGGTCTGGATGGACGGATCTCGCTTATTGGCATCGAATGCGTTGCAACTTTAATAACACCGCCAACTTCCTTTTGATTGTAGACTGAAGCGAATTGAGGTACTCCGTTGTTGAAGGCTTCAATCGCCGAAAACTCTGGTTGAGGATACGGCGATGGATCATCGAAGTATTGACCATTGACGTGAGGTTCAGTGGATCCTCCGTATATAAGAGCCGTCGTCCTGTTGTGCGGAATGTTGACAAAAGCCACCTGAGATGGTTGAATATTAACCAACAAAGGTTGACCTGTCGATCTTTCGATTACTTCGGGAAGTAAAATTTGAGACGGACGCACGATCAAATCGATTTCAGAGTTCTTCAAGAAAGGAATCGTATGTTGTGGTTTATTATTGCGAACCAAGTTTGCACCTCTGATTGGTATTTTCGGAGGAGATCCTTCGTAATCGTTGTTGGATGCGTGATTTACGCTTGGCTGTTCGGTGTACCTTTTGAGCCAACTTACAGGTGCTGGGGGTGGTTTCATTCCCTGAATGTCTTGTGGGTTAATGGTGGATGCATCTGGATTGATCAAAGGAATGGCTGGTATCCTTGGACCGATTCTTCCAGGTTTACCGACGATAACGTCCGAATTTGTTGTGATGATTTCGCCAGGTGAAATTGGTATTCCACCGGTCAATAATGGACTTTCGTGCGTTGATTTTCCTATCAAGTTCTTCATGTCGTGCCAACTTACGGCTATATTTTCACTCTCTGCTGTCTCGATGTCCGTTAAGCCTCCAACTGGTATGTAGATGGGGGACCTGTTCTGCACCTCATTCTCCACTACCTCGACTCTAGGTGTCGTCGTCGTTACGACAGTATCGTTTCGTCGAGGCGCTTTCAAATTGTGTTGGATGAGGCCAGCCATTGCATTCAGAACAGGCGTCAAGGCTTGGATGTTGATTGAACCCAGTAAGCTTGAAACGGGACTTGCGGCTGCCGCTGGTTTGGCCACCTTGTTCGTTCCAGGCTTCCTCTTCGTGCTTCCTTCAGCTTTCGCTGAGGAAGACTTAGTTGGGGCAACCTTTCGCTTGGTCTGCTTAACGATTTCTGAACTCAGCAGAGAGTTCAACGCGTTTTTTGACTTCGTCTTGATAGAGGGTGTGCTTTGAGCGAATGGATCGTCATCGACGAAAATGATGGTCGATCCGGTTATAACATTTGGTTTCGAGGACTCGATTACTGGAGTCGAGCTCGAAATTTCTGGCATCTTCGTCTTCTCAATGGGTAAAACTTTGGTGGGTTTGATTTTTGGTACCGCTGTAATTTCTAATTTTTGGCCATTGTTTAAGGTTACCACTTTTGTGATACTCGTTCCACCCTCTTTGACCTCCTTCTTTAAAGAGTTCAACACCTTCTTATCGAACTGCTGATGATCCACAGATTCAGTGACAATATTCTCAACGATCTTGGAATGCGAGTTTATCACTGTACTAGTGTTATTATCTCTTACAGTCTCCAGAGTCGTCAGATAAGTGAACGTGGTGAAATAAGTCTTTGTTGCGTAAATATTCAAAGCTTCGTTCTTTTTTTTGTTGGCAATTGGTGCTGAGTTGATGATACTCTTCGGCTGCAAGAATAGCTTTTCCGTGACTACATCACTTGAAGTCACAACTCTTCGGTTAGTCACCGTATTTCCATTATCCACCAGAGTCTCGTTATAAGTGTAAGTCACAAAGTACGTCTTCACCGTTTCAGATTCCTGCGGTTTATCGACCGCTATGTAAGAAGTCATCGTGGCTGTAGCTTTAACAGGAACCGACTCAGTTATCACGACTTGCGTAACAACTTCATTAGTGCTCACAACTTTGGAAATTTGGCCCTCATACAAAGTTTTCTCCAATCCAATTGTACTGTAGTAGGTGTTTGTATGCTTGATGGGTTCTTCGTTTGATCTGAACAGAGATAGGTAATCATCTGGAGCTGTCACGGTGTTTGTAACAACTTTTTTAGATGTTACCACCAACGGTTGTTCACCATCCAAAATCGTGTTGAGATAAGTGTAAGTTGTCACGAAAGTTCCAACCTCCAATTTTGGATACTGCAATAAATATAAATTAATTAATAAAAATATTAAATTATTAAGTAATATTACTAACTTGAGTTAAAGTGATTCCCATCGTTGGTGTCGCAAGGATTTTTCCTGTATTCCTTTCTTCCGTAGCAATATTGGACACAACCTGCTCGTGACTAGACACAGTTGTAGTTCCATTGTCCAGATAAGTGGTCAAGTAAGTGAAAGTGGTCAAGCAGGTCTTTGTAACGAATTGATTTGGATACAAAGATGATGACAAACTTTCAATCTAAAAGAGAATTGAATGAATATACAATTTATCTTTTTATATGGATATTCTTACATTTGTTGGTATTACCATCATCATGTTATTGGAAACAGTTGACGGTTTCAGTGTGACCGCTTTCTGAGTGTTCGGAAGCACTCTCCTGTAATCTCCTGGAAGAGTGCTCTTGTCTCCAGCTACAATCAACTCCACCCCATTGGACATCACTCTAGTAGCTAAATTGTATCTTGCCTCCTCTAAAGCTCTACCTCTATCATCTACACCAACATCCGAATTAGTCGAGAATCTTACTTCAGTTTACAAATGTAATAATGTACAAGTATTTACAAATAAACAAATAAAAAAAAAAACAAAAAACGAGAAAAGAACAAATAATGAGTATCTACTGCATGCAAGATTAGTGAATTTGATATTTTACAAGTAAGTACATTTTTTTATGATGTTGTTGTTGTTGATGTTGTTTAAGAAAATTTAGTTCTTACCTTGGATGCTAGGTTCTTTTGAGGATTCCATGGATGGGGTAACAGTCATTGGTATAAAAGGTATAGTTTCAGTAGCGTCCAAGTCAAGTAGAGTCAAAGTCGTGTATCTAGTTGTAGGTTCAGTGATAGTTACTGTCTTCGTGTGCGGTTTAACTTCGGTCGTCGAAGTAATTACTTGCTCATCGCCACTCACCCTTGTAACGACAAAAGTGTACGTACGTAATTTACTTTGCAGTGTTGTTTTCGTGATTGTCTCGACTGCCGTTATCACCGTCGTCTTCGCTAGAAGACCTGACGCATCGATGGATTCGGATATTTCGGGAAAGAATGGTTCGTATTCTGGTAAGGATTTATTCGTGATCAAATTCTCTTCGCTGTCCTCGAAAAACTTGTGCGTTTCCGTGGACGAATCCAAGTCTATGAAGTTAGCAGTTTGCGTTTCATCTTCAAGATCCTCTTCTGAATCAACCGAAACGGGCGGTGTTACAACTTCTTGCATATGTTCGATCCCGCTTGCTTCCGAAACCTTATCTTCTTCCATCTCATCTTCATCTTTTATATCTGTATCGTCATCATCTACATCTTCATCATCTATATTTTTATTTTCGTTTATATCTTTGTCGTCATTATCTTTATTTTTGTTATTTATGTTTTTTTCTTCATTTTCATCATTTTCATCATCTTCATCATCTACTTCTTTATCTCCATCATCTACATCCTTATTTTCATCATCGATATCTGCATCTTCTATGATTTTGTCATCATTGATATGTTTCTTATCATTTTCATCATCATCATTTTCATCGTCTTCATCAATATCTTTATCTTCATTTTCCTCGTTATTATCTATATTTTCATCAACCTCATCCTCCTCCTCCTCTTTATCATTTTTGTATTCATCTTTATTTTCATTTACATCTAATTTATTTTCTAAGCTATTGAAATCATCAGTACTTGCTAAATCTTTAAAACTCTCACTGTGATTAGTACTGAATTCGGAGCTACTGAAGTAAGTCTCCGTAGTACTAGCAAACGTTTGGGAGATCGGACTAATCGTGTGCTTGATCTTCCTCACCCTAACCCTTCTGGTAGGTTTAACAACCACTCCTTCATCCTCATTCAATTTCGTTGAAGGATTCAAAATCCTCTTCTTAGTAACAACAACTCTCCTCCTGTTCTTCCTCTTCTTAACAATAATCCGCTTCCTGTGGTAGTTCTTCGGTATATCCGAAGGCTGCCCCAGGTACTCTTCCTTCGTATCAACATGGAAATTCGTTGAATTCGTATTGCTCTGTCTCGGTTGTACCCTAACTAATTTTTTCACCACCCGTCTGGGACGGACAGTGTTCTCAGTGCTTCGCTTAATTCTAAATTTTGTTTGTTTTTTATTGATATTTTGCTTGCCAATTTGTGCTTTCGAAACGTAATTTATGCCCCTGTAAATGAGTTTCGACACTTCGACCTTTGGCATGAGTGGGGCGAACCCATCAAGGTCTACAACGCTAAAAAATTACCGGAAGATTGGTTTATTGCAATCTTCGCTTTAGTTGGTCTAATGTATGGACTCTCAGTAACAAATTGCTTGCTCACATCTATCACATTCTCCAAACTCTCCGTGGGAATCGAAGCTTGAGGGAAATCAAAGTCTCCAATTGCAGGCATCAAATGCTGATCTAAAGTTGTCAGGATTATCTGCGGGATAACTCTCGATGGTTCCACAGGAATGTAACTTGCTTCCCTCTTCTTTCTATTATCTTCACCAACCACAACAGTTGAGAGTATGGTACTGAATTCACCAGGAGTTCTTCCAGAGACGTAAAGAGTTATTACGCTCGTCTCCTTCGGTGGTGGACTTGGCGTCGGTTTCTTGTTCTTCTTTCTTGAACTCTTCCTCTTGGGAGGTTCAGTAACATCATCAACGGTTTGATATCTCTCAATCGCCTCATCTTCGATAGCCAAGTTCTGTTTATCTTGAGCGGCAAACAGCGATTGCTTGAATAACTCTTCATTATTTAAATTTAGAACTCCAGCAGGCGATTGGAATATGTTAGGTTGTTGGAATACTTGTTGTTGTTGCTGCTGCTGTTGTTGTTGCAATAAGAAAGGAACCAGTAAACTGTTTAATTGATTATTCTGTTGAAGCAACGGAGTTGGTGTAACGACAACAGTTTCAGTTAAGAATTCGGTGGCGGTAATCACGTTAACGCTCGAATCTATGATTGTCGTCAATATCTCTTTTCCTCTGAACGTAAGTGGAATTACCGTTGAGGTTTCAGATGTCACTGTAGTCACGTAGGTTGTAGTTCTTGTTTTATATTCAGTAGTTGGAGTGCCTGCTACCACTTGATTTTGCAAGCCTAGAAGATTGGGCTGTTGCTGGATTGGATTGTTTCCAAGTAATAATTGTGAAAGAAGTATATTGGCTAGAGGACCTTGCGCTAACGGTGGAGGAGCGATTGTGTTCACTACAGGTTCGACAACGTAAACTGTGCTTGGGATTACGTGTGAGAAAGAGGTTCTTCTACCTCGGATTGTTGTTGGAGTGAAGATCACTGTGGTGGTTGGAGACTCGTTCAATGTATATTTAGTGATTTGCGTTGCTCCATTAGCTCCAAATCCTGTTGATTCACTTAAAAGTACCGTAATGTCTTTTCCGTAGGGATTCGTTGTTGTTGAGTATTGTTTCGGTGTCAAGACTTCCGTACTCAATTGTGCTGTTACAACATTTCTGTATTCGGTAATCTTACCATTTACAACAGGAATGGTTACTTCAATGGGTATTTGATGAGTAACCGTGATGGTTCCATCAGATTTAGGAAGAACAAAGTTCGTTTCGTTTTCTTGATTGTTTTGATTATTGGCGCGTTGTCTGCTGGCGGTAGTTCCTCTCCTCGGGCTCTTCGGTCTAGCTCTGCTCGTTGTTTTAGGTCTAGAATTACTTTCAGTCTGTGATCTTGACCTCGACGATGGTCTTGGAGTCGGCTTCCTGATTCTCGAGCCTTCAGTCGATGGTCTTTTGAAGCTGCTCCTCGAGTTGGTATCTCTTAATGTGAATTGAGATCTACCGTGTGTTGGTCTCGAAGGAGCGATTCTTTGCGTCGTGTGTTCATTGCGAGTGTGTTCAGTACGGGCGCGTTCGTGTATTCTTGGTTTTGGTGCAAATCTTCCACGTTTCTTAGGAGCTTCAGTTTCAGGTGGTGGTGGAGCTTCAGTGGTCGTTGTAGTTCGTTGAAGACCGGGCCGTCTGAAGCGTGAGAAAGACTGCCTCTTCTCGCGGATCTGAATTTGAGTGAATGCATCCAAAGCTGTTTCTCTCTTGGAGCGCCTTTTTAGCCCAGCGAATGGTCTTATTTGAATTGGAGAGAAAGCACGTCCGTTTCTCGCTTGTTCAGGAGCAACTTCTGTTTGTTCATCGTTCACTGAACTTTCGTATTCTGTATCATCGTCCTCATCATCGCGATCTCCATAATCAATATCTTCGGCCAAATCTTCTTCTTCTTCTTCCTCCTCTTCTGGCTCCGGTGGTGGTGTTGTAGTGGTAAATAGATTCCTTCTTGGGAACAGCCCATTATTAGGCCTTGCTCTATTCTGTATGGAATTTGAACTTGGTCGATTGAATAGACTTCTTGCGGCAGGTTTAGCAGTAGTCGTTACTTTCTTGGTGTTCTTGCTACCCTTGAGACTTCTTGGAGTCGTCGGTGGTCTAGCAATTGGCGGTCTGCGGAATTTCAGCAGAGGGTTCTGACTGCGCCTGGAGGAGGATTCGGTGGTGGTAGCTTCCAAATCTTCTGGATTATCGGTAACTTGAGTTGTCAAATCGTTTTCTTCGTCGCTAACCACCGAAGGTACGGTAACGGTATTCAAACCTCTGCTTAAAGTGGATGCCAATGTTGGTCTAATTCTGAATCTATTGTTGCCATTGTAGGCAGAGCTGGGTCTTGGAATGGAAGATGATAGAGTGGAGGATCGGAAACCGCTTCTACGGGAACTCGAACCGAACGCCGAGGATGGTTGTACTCTTCCAGAACTTCTTCCTCTGTTAGGAGAGTAAGTAGACGATGGACCAATGTTACTAGCAAAGGTGCTCGATTTAGGCCTAGTAAATCTGCGGCTTCCCGAGGCTGAAGCTGGTTGAATCGATGAAGAACTCTTTCTGTTATTTCCGAAACCTCTGGATTTCGATGCTGGAATCGCTGTTACAGTTGGCGTGAAATCGCTTCTGGTTATTGTTGTCGCACTTGGTTTACTTCCTTTACGTTTCGGAGCAAACGTCGGTTTAGGTCTCGAAGCAAACGGTCTGATCACCGGAGTAAATGTTCTTTTGCGAGATGAGAACGTTAACCTGGATTTGACTCTGGTATTGTCTCCGTCCTCAGTGCTTGTTTCTTCTTCTTCTTCAGGTGATTCTGTATCGTCTTCCTCAACTTTAGATGAATCACTAATAGAACCTTCTATAACTACAGGAGATGGAGCTATTGGTAAAGCTGTTGGTGTAATTTCTTCTAATACAGTTGCAGTCGGAGTGATTACTGGCTCTGCTGATTTTGTAATAAAGCTTGAAGTGCTTTCAATTATATGAGCATAAGTTCCATCGATCAACGTTCCCAAGACTTTAGATTGATATACTATGGTTGTATCAGAGTGAATAATCGATCCATCGATAAGTCTTACTAATCCGGTTCTTTGAGTTGCCGGTGTATCAGTTTGTAAAGCCTTCTTTTCTTCATCTACCACTAAAGAACTGGTACTTTCGATGACTTGAGCATAAAGATTACTGATGTAAGTTCCAACAGCTTGAGTCGTGTAGAACAGAGTGCTAATACCATCAACATCCACAACTTTACCTTGATTGATACTAACAACACCAGTTGGTTTGAGTTTCTCAGAAGGAGCCACAGTAGGAGTAACTATAATTTCGGTACTCTCCAATACCTTTGCGTAAAGTCCATCAATATATGTTCCATATACATCAGTGGATAAAATAGTTTTAATACCTTCATTTTCTACTGTTGAAGCAATTGTAGACAATAATCCAGTTGGTCTAATTGATGGTAAAATTTCAGTAGGCTTTGGTTTCTCTTCCTCAATTTTATTGGCATTAGCTTGCCCAATTGCTCTTGCTATATGATTAGATTCAATCTCTTCAGTTTTATTCAAAATATTTGTAACAGTTTCCAACCGACTGTTGATTACTGAGCTGCTTCCATTATAAGCTGTAGTGAAATAGGTGAAAGTAGTATAAAAAGTTGTTAAATCTTCACCATCGACTTGCGTGGGTTTTATTAAATCATTCAACACTGTCGGCTCGATCTTAGCAGTTTCAGTTGGGCTGACAATATTGGAAACAGTCTCTTCTCGATTGGTAATCTTAGTAGTTCCATCTTTGTAAAGCGTAGTCCAATAAGTGTAAGTTGTGTAATATGTTATGGGTAGAGTCAAATCTTCTACTGATAAACTTTTAGTTGGAGTTAAAGTTTCTGTTACAACATTAGTCACTGTTTCCAAGCGACTTACGACGTTGCTGGCCGTGGTTCCTTGATACATAGTAGTGAAATAAGTGAATGTTGTGTAACTGGTTTGCAAAAGAAGCGTGGGCGATGGAATAATTTCGGACTCGTTATTGGATTCCGATACAATTTGATCATCCAACAAAACATTGCCTTCTCCATTGGAATTTTCATTAATCACCCTTTTGTCGCCTTCAGAAGTACTGCTTCGTACATCTGTGACCATAGTAGAAATAGTTTCGTACTCGCTCAAATCTAATAAATCATTAGAATCTGTTGTCGTTCCCTCAATGGCATGATAATTCTTACTTTGCAGTATATTGTTATCCAAAATAATATTTTCATTCTCAGATTTCTGCCTGTTAATCGTACTGTTATAAGCGTTATCCGGCGAAATGTTCAGAGCTTGTATTTTACTCTTCAGCAAAGATTCATCATCAGTTATTATTCCTTCATCGTCTCCGAATCTGACCGTTACAGTGGGTTTAATTTCTTCAACCGCTTGAGTTGGTGTCACAAAATTCGTGTAAACTTCAGTGCGACTGGAGATTTCAGTTTCGCCATCAACGAAAATCGTGGTGAAATAAGTGTACGTTGTATAATAAGTTTTAATCGCTGTATTTACGAGATCATCACTCAAAGCAGGGGTAGCCTCTACTGCGTTTTCCTGTTCTTCATTCAAAACCGGCAAATTTGTGGCACTGCCAATACCGACGGCGCTCGGCGAGATTTCGAAATCTTCGAAACTTACAGCTTTAGTTTTGAAGTCACCACCAGATACTAATCCTTTCACAGCATCATCAGACATCTCCATGCCAGGTTCTATCGTGGACGTGATCACATTGGTCACCACAACTTTTCTGCTCGAAATCGAAGATGTCGATTCTTGGAAGAAGGTGGTCAAGTACGTGTAAGTTGTGTATAAGGTCTTGAAAAGTAGTTCAATTTCCTCTCCACTATCGGTGGTTAATTCAGTAGTTTCTGGCTCGGATTCGGTAACGTGTCTCCTCTCTGTAGTAATTTCGAAAGGAGTCGTTTCTAGAGCTTCAGTAGTTGTTAACTGTTCAGTTGTGGTTGGTTCGGATTCAGTTGTTGTAATTTCTTCGGTGGTCGTTGTGATTATTTCGCTTGGAATAATAGTGGTATCAACAATGGAAGGAAGTACAGTGCAATCGATGGTATTGAAAGTGGTTTCAGTTGAAACGACCTCGTTGAATTTGACTGAAGTAGAAGTAGATTCCACGTTGTTTGTTTCCAATGGAATGAAATAAGTAGTAACGTAAGTCAAAGTTTTCAGCAAAGTTACAGGAACAATCTTCTGTCCATCCGCACATTCTTCTTCATTTTCAGTGGGTTGCGCTTCAGTTGCAGGTTCCTCTTGCTGCTCTTGAGTGGTAACTTCTTCCTCACGCTCTGTTGTTGTGGTTTTAGCTGTTGTCGTCGTTGTAGTAGTGGGTTCTTCATGAGTGGTCGTCTCAGGTTCTTTGTGAGTAGTATGAGCTACAGCGTTTTCAGTGGTTTGTCTCTCTAAAATTTCTTCTTCTTCCTCCTCCTCTTCAGTTGTGGTAGCATATTCTTCCTGAGATTCTGTGGTTTGCGCAATCAAAGTTGGCTCATCCTCAAAGAAGATAGTAGTGGCTCCACCGAACGCTTCTTTCATGGTACTTGGTTCTTCATCATAGAATATAGTGGAAGCCGTGTTCAAAGGTTGAGTCTCCTTCTGAGCTTCTTGCTGTTGCAGTATATTGAAGAATTTAGATATTTCCTCTTCGGATGGTCGCGACAGCATCGGAGGAAGTTGCGTTTCGGATGATTGAATAATATCATCGGTGAATTTAATCGTAGCAGTTTCTGTTGTCTCAATAGTAGTCAACACGGGAGTCGGTTTCTGCTCTTCAAAAAGAACCGACAACTTAGCTTCATTATCTTCGTGCTCTTCATCCTCTTGTTCTTCGTCTTCATCAATTTCCGCTTCATCTTCGGCTTCCGTTTCAGTTTCGGCTTGCGTTTCAGATTCTGTTTCTGCTTCGGTCACTGCTTCAGCTTCATCTTCCATTTCGGTTTGATCTTCTACGTGGTATTTATCGAGTTGCTCGTTTTTAGCTTTACGGGTTGCAGCGTCTATAACCATGGTTGGAAGGAGAGTTTGCATGGTCAATTTGTGGCCTTCAACTGTTTTAGTGGCAATTCCTGGTTCGTGCGTTAGGAAGGTTTTCAATTTGGTTGCGATTTGGGGTTCAATCAATGTAGCTTCGCCTTTAATTTTGGTCACTTGGTTGTTGATTTCTTTTAACGGTTCTTCAGTTTGAGGCGTAAATACAATGACGGTATCGCCTACAGTCGTTGTGAAATCGGCGAAGCCTGTATAGGTTACTGTTTTCAAGTCTTGCTTGTTAGGAATTCCTCCACGGAACAGGAGTTTGGCTTTTCTGTCTGCAGCAGTTGTTGGCTTAGATTTTTCGGTATTCACATCGTATTCTGGAAGATCTCCTAAGAAGCTAAAGCCGCTTGGCGAGAATTCGTTTCGAACTGTGAATGTAGGCAGATTGTCCCATTCTTTTACTTTGGAGGCCTCAATGTCATCTTTGCTAATAACATTGATTTCATCGTTTTCTTCTTTCCTGATCAGATCGATGTGTTTCTGAGGATGGATTTGGAAGACCTTCACGTTGTTCTGGTTTCTATCGGAATCTTTGGCGAATGGTACTCGCGCGTTGTTCGATGATTGAGAGAGAAGTTCTTCTTCGCTGAAGGTTTCTTTGTATTTATAGAGGTCGGGTTTGGTGGTAGGAAAAACGACGAAGGGTTTGTCGACTTGATTCGGGGAGATGTAATCGGTGTTCTTGACGAAGTTGCCTTTGTCGATGAGATTCTGATCGATGTTCCACTTCTTCTTATCGTTATAAGAGCGAGTGGGCGAGTCATTATCGTACAGTACTCTAGAGCTTTTCGTCAATAAGTGCGCGTACAAACGTCCGTTGTCGAGGGTCGTACCGAGCACTTGCGTTGCGTACTCGGTAGTCACACCCTCCTGTATGAAGGTACGGGCTGTGGAAGTTAGAAGACCCACGTCCGGTTTTACGCTCAGGAAACGGCCGAAAGTTGACCGACCATGACTATCCACCAGTAAGACTGTTGTGACATCTATAGCCGAGCAAAAGGAGAGACAGATAGAGACCAATATTTTACAAAATTTAACAAAAGACATAATTAATATGATAAATTTAGAAAGAAAAAACACATACGAGTAATCATAACACGACATAAATTTATACAATAGATTAATCACTAAATTACTACAAATTTTTACTAAAAATCAACACAAAAAACATAACTCAATTTTATTTATTAACTACAATCAATTAATTCCTCCAAAAACAACAATTTATTCAATTAACTTTTAAACAAATCATAAGAATTTTTTTTTCTAAATTTTATATATATTTTTTACTTTTCAATATTATTCTTTTGTCAAAGTTAAATTTGTACTGTTTTCTGTACTAAAATTTAAATGTTTGAACTTTTCATTAGAAATATTTTCTGAAATTTGTTTCCTTCTTTAACATATTAATTTCACTAGAAATATTTAACTTTTTAATTAAATTTAATTTGTTTATATTTTTTCTCTATAAATATCTTTTAAAATGTTAATTAGAACACTGAAACATTTTCAATTTACAGTAAGCTTTAAAAAAATTGAACATTTACATTGAAATGGAAAAATACATGAAACAATGGGAATAATAATGTGAGAGGAGGCAGCGTTTACAGCGAAACGCCATTAGTCAATGCCAAAAAATTCTGAATCATCGACGGGTTTAAATTTAACAAATATCGCTTTGTTTAATTGAATCGAAAGAGAGAAAAAATAACGGCACACGCAAAATATAAACAATGGTGGAATTGTTTAATTCATGTCGTGCGATGGATACAAGAATTTTCTCTTTGATTCATTTTGCATAACTAAAACAAATTTATCATCTAGCAAACCAAGTTTCCTTGTTCATAATTAAAAAAACATAACATTAATTATTTTCATTTTTAATTAATAAATTTCTAGAAAGGAAAATACTATTAATAAATCATTGTTATATCATCATTATAATAATATTACATTTGTTGATTTTTTTTGTCAATTGTTGTTGTTCGAAAAATTATTTGTCTTGAAGAAAATTAAATTAATTGTAATTATTTAAGTTTGTAATATTTCAATAAATGTACATAGATTCATTAATAATGATAGAAATTAATTATTTATTGATAAAGTTGAGATATGTTTCTTGTTATTAAAAGCTTAACGTTAAATTCAGATGTTTTCTGATTGCTCAACGCAATTTATTTAAGGATTTCTGTTGAAACTATCTGAATTTGCGGTTCGCTTTTCTTATGTAGAATCGTAATTATATGCATTCGCAATAGAACCTTCACCGCAATGTTCGATATTTTCGTATTATTATTATTATGAACCGATAAACAGACGAAGAGAAGGAAAAAAAACAAACAAAAATTATAAACAGCTACAAAAAAAATATGATGCAAACAAAAAAACAAAACGTTTAACTTTACAATCAACTAATAATGTACGGGTTATTAGTTGCAGCCGACGAATTAAACAACGGCGAACGGAAACGTAAAATGTATATTAAATTGAGGAAAAAAAAATAGATAAATACAAACAAAGAAAGGATGGTGAATTAATGCGCAAAAATTACGTAAGACATAATGTACACAAGAGAAAATGAAATTGAAATATGCATGATCGAAGAAGTAGAGAAGAGTTGAAGGAGGTGGCAAATTTTTCCATCCTTGACATTTTGTACAGGCGAAAATAATTAAAATAACGTTCGTTCGTTTTTCCATAATTCAGAGAGCGAATTTTATGCAGCCTTCGGGTTTCCGTGTCCAGGACCCTCTGACATTTAACTTCGCGACGTTACGATGCAGACAAAATAATAATAAATAAATGAAGAATACCGCATTTTCAAATGGTTATGCAACGCTTGCTGTCGAAAATAAAAATATCCGTTTATGTTTCTTCTTTTCTTTTTCTTTAATTGCGCTACGTATAAATTTCGCTCTCGTGCGTTACTCGCGTTGCGTAATCGCCATTAAATGCTATTTACAATCTCCAGATGCTCTTGCGGACGGTATACCGATGGTATTCCGTCCATCATCGACATCTACGCCGTCCTCTTACCTTGTCCGCTCTGTCTCCTCTGCCTCGGCGAAGACTCGATGTCTCCATCTCCTGCAACGAAAGAAAACGAGGTTAATATGTTGTCTGCAATTAACGTTTCGTTGCATATTTATTTATAAGGATAAAATGGAAAATTTCTTAAAACGAAACAGAAAACATACATTTTGTATTTAATTTTTCAATAAAATCGACTTATTTTTCATAAAAATAAACACAACCTGTCACAAAATTTTATATTGCCAGTTTGACAAATTCAATTCTGTTACGCCATCTTTTGATTTGTTTACAATTTATTCATTTTTTCACTGTGAAATAAAACAAAAAAAATCAATTATTTAACACAAAAAGGTTATATGACACTGACAGATTCAAGTCTGTTACGCCATCTTTAGGTTTATTTTATAAGTTATTTAATGTTAAAATAAAACAATTTAAGACAATAAATAAAAGTTAAAAAAAAAACAAAAAAAATCAATTATTTAACACAATTTTTTTTGACAGTTTGACAAATTCAAGTCTGTTACGCCATCTTTTGGTTTGTTTTATAATTTCATTAAGTTTTCATTCCTTTATAGAAAACGTAATTATTTAATTATAGTTTATTCATGTATGTATTTTATTAATTGTTTAATTTTTAAAAGTAGATTTAAACATAAAAAAAATATTTAAAATAAAAAAATAATCTCATTTGAAGGAAGTATTTGAAGCTTGAAGTACGAAATCAAAGTGACATAATGCGAACAATTGCAGTTGTTACTTTCATCAACACTAGTTGGTACATCTGACAGACATTAATGTCCCATATCACGTATAGTGTGGATGCAGCATACAAAATTATATCAAAAGAAATAATCGTTTAAATCTCAAAGAAACAGCTTACATTGGAATGCGTGGACTTCTGTTTGTTTCAAATGCTAATTCCTAGAAATTGTGTTATTAGGTAAAAGACTTATCCAAACAGCCGCGCCCGTGCTGCACTTTCCTCTCGGCACGAATTGCTTGAACACACGGATCTCCCAAACACCAAAAATAGAATCAATAATTTGTCCTCACAATAACAACAAAAAGAAACGGTGGTAATTACACGCGACCTTCAAGACAGAGACCTCAACGCTGAATTTCTCTTTGGGTTTAATTACGTTTTATGCGTTTCCTGTGTTCCCTATCAATTGCTGTTCAAATTCTTGTCTACAAAGATTTTACGCTTCTTGCACACGCATCCTCGGTCGCAGCGGCAGCTCTCTTTCACTTTTAACCGCGATTTCATCACGCATTTTTTGCCCTTCTCTCCTCTCCAGAGTGGACGAACTGTTGGTCATCTACAACCAGAGTTTCGATTATAGAAGACCCCAATGTCGTATCGATGAATTCCGATTGCTTCAGTGAGGATTACAGAAAATTAAGAAAGATACTTTGGAGTTGGTCAATGGATGTGTCCAAATTTTTTTTTCGATGTGCAAGTACAATTACCATCTGTTTAACCCCTTTTTTTCAATGAGTTGGTAAATGCAAAATTTAAGCAATAAGAAATAAATCAGTTGCAAGTTTAGACGCACATTCGAAACATCAATTAATATTTCGTAATTACTAGTCGAAAATGCGGGCAAGATTGATTGGAAATACACGGTCAAATTATTTATGGAATGGCAAGGAATGCGTTTAGTCCAAATAATTCAATACTAATTAGTATATAATTACTTTTAAAATATATAGTACATTTTTTAATAAGAAAAAGTTTCAGTTTTCAATGATTATTTCCAATTACAAGAAACATTATGTTGGTTTCAAAATTTGTATGTGAAAATTCAGATTATTTGAAATAAATTGTAATTCTTATGGTTTTCTTGTATTTCATTGTTAAAATAAGTAAAGAATGTTAAAGGTTCAAGAAAGAAGTAATTAACTTTCAGAGTTTTATTACAAAAAATTAAGAAATTACAAGAAGCACAAGTATACTTATTTGTTTATAAGTTTATGTTGAGACTTTATCAAATTTGGAATTACTAAAAAATGTGTATTATATTTTTAGTATTCTTTTTGCTAAAGTTAATTAAGAAATTTATTCATTGTTTTAGAAAGACTATAATAAGTTGAATAAGAATTTAATTTAGTAAATTATTTCCATGGGATTCGATTAAATTCGACCGGAATAACAATTAATTTAACTGGATGAAAGATTACGTCCAGAGTTAGTTGAACTGGTAAATTATATAAGCTGAAAAGTGTATAATGTATACAATTATAATAAATTACAGATCTGGTGGTTGCACAATAAGGACCAAATGTGCAATCGAAGGTGAAAGTAGTTGCGAAAGAAATGATATTCTTAATTAACGACACGAATGATTCGAGCATAAATTAATCATCGAAAACGGTGTGATTAAAAAGGAATTTGCTCGGAATTTGATGATATTTTAAACATCCAGGAAACTCTAAGGAATTGAACGAGAACTGTTGGAAAAAGGGAAAGTAGATGGAATCCACGGTCTGCAATCAAAGTCGCATTAAGCATCAAATACCCCAATATTAACAATCTATATCCGCCCACCAAAGAGACTTATTGTTGCGATCAATTAATTAATTGCGTAATTGCGATTTCTCGATTTCTTTTGTGAAGGGATGCTTTCTCCGTGGCCCCCATATTTTCGGGGAACAAAAAGTGAGTTCTTCGGCAACGTGTTTGTGTATGTCTGTCTCAGTAACGGACAGGTGTAGAAGCCATAAGGAGGTCATACTTATACAGTCTTCGAGTGTATGTAATGATTGAAATCAGCCGCGGGCGGAACCGCCTGACCGACAATCATCTGACCCACATCTGCAACGGCAGACCTCTGAGAACACGCCGAGATCGTTCCCATCATATCCATTCGCAGCAGCAGCAGCACTTCTTCTACACGCGAGAATCGAGAAGAAAGAGGACCAGACCAGGCATAGCATTATCTCACATTTCGGTCATCACTTCCTATTTCTCACCTTATTCTCATTCACCTTTTCATTCTCATTTTCAGCTTTAACCCAGAATCATGTCAAAAGCATACATACATAAACTTAAATCATATGATCTAATTACTACATCTCCTATTCTCTAATAATATCTTTAATGTCATACATTTATTAAGCTTTAAATTATGGTAGTCATTTAATTGATGTAACTGTTACACGCATTTTGAAATTTCTATCTTGTAACTGAAGTAAAGAATTAATATATATATAAAATAACTTTATTTGATATATCTGTCAATTTTTGTTCTTTAATATAACTGTCATTAGAAGTAAAGAACAAATTTATACAATGCAACTTTATATGACATATGTGTCAATTTCTTTAATTTGACATAATTGTCAATACAAATGAATAACCAAATTAGGTTATATTTACCTAGTAAATACAAATTTAAACTTTATATCATTATTTGACATATCTGTCAATCTTTGATCTTTAATATATCTGTCATTAGAAGTAAAGAACAAATTTATACAATGCAACTTTATTTGACATAATTGTCAATACAAATGAATAACCAAATTAGGTTATATTTGAATACAAATTTAAACTTTATATCATTATTTGACATATCTGTCAATTTTTGTTCTGTAATATAACTGTCATTAGAAGTAAAGAACAAATTTATACAATGCAACTTTATTTGACATATGTATAAATTTCTTTAATTTGACATAATTGTCAATACAAATGAATAACCAAATTAGGTTATTTTTATCTAGTAAATACAAATTTAAACTTTGTATCATTATTTGACATATCTGTCAATTTTTGTTCTTTAATATAATTGTCATTAGAAGTAAAGAACAAATTTATACAATGCAACTTTATTTGACATAATTGTCAATACAAATGAATAACCAAATTAGGTTATATTTGAATACAAATTTAAACTTTATATCATTATTTGACATATCTGTCAATTTTTGTTCATTAATATAACTGTCATTACAAGTAAAGAACAAATTTATATAATTCAACATTTCTTTCATTTCACATAATTGTCAATTCATTTAAGTTAAATTTTAAAAGTTTATACAAATACAAATTTAGATGTTAAGTCATTATTTTATATATAAGTTATTTTATTTAATTGGACATAATTTTCAACTCAAATGTGTTATTAATTATTTTGACATATCTGTAAATTAAATCATTACTATGAAACTCTATGAAAAACTAATTTAATATATCTTTAGTTATATAATTTGATGATGAATTTATGTTAGATTTTCATTTTCATAAAACAAATAAAAAAAATAGACTTTGTTTTTATTATTTGACATAAGTTTGTCAATTTACCAATAAATAAAGAACTAATTAATATATCTCAATAAAAATTAGATAATGACAATTTGTGCTAAATTTATATGATCAATAATGTTGCGAATCATCGTCAATATTCAACTCGTATTTAATTTTCATCGTTTGCGAAATGCAATTATAAGTTGGCAATCCGAGCAACATTCCGATGACTGTGCGTTACGCGATAAATTGGTTCCAAGAAATCCATCATTGAACCATTCTTAAAGTGGTCACAATATTTGTAGTTACATTGAATAACCTGAATGTTTGTAAAGCGGATGAAGACCATCCTTTTTTTCCATTAATTTAAAGGTCATGCGCCAACTGATTTTTTTTGTTTGGGAATTAGTTCAGAGAGAGCTGCACTCATAGGTCAAACTGAGTGCATTCTGAAACACCTTACTCATGCTTAATACAATATACTTGTCAAGTAACTTCTGTTAATGCAAGTATTTTGATGAAATAATTAATAATGAAACTACGGTAATCATTGATTTGTATTGTAAAAAGAAGGTCTACTTAGTAACAGTACTGAAATAATTTTGATAGAAAAATATTTTACTTAAAAGTATGTCGAAATCAGACTTAAGTTAATCTATCGAAATACTACTGAAAGAAAAATATACATATTACTTTAAAGAATGTTAAGAAACCTTTCACCAATCATAATATAGCAATTATTAACAGCATAAATGATTTCATAGTCTATGAATGAATGAATTGTTTTCAAGTCAACAACAGTCCTTTACTGCGTGTGCAATCATTAGAGAATTCAATACACAATAAAAATGTTTATACCAATGAATATTTATCGTCGGTTTATAATGAAGAATAAACTAAAAATAAACGTGTCACAGAACGAAAGCGGAAAAGCGCAAACCGGATTTATCTTGGACTATTTTACGTGAATTCCGTGTTCCCAATTAAACAAGTTGCAATTATATTTATTTTATTTTTGTTCATTGTTATTCTTTTGCAAGAAAACAAAACAGAAATAAAATTGTAACAATTACAACCTGTTCCTTATTTACTTTATTGGCTTTTCAAGGTTGCACATTTAAGGTCAGCTTAGGAAAAGTGTTACGGACGACGTATAAATCACTGATTCGAATTTAAGAGGAGGTTAAGAAACGCTCGAGTGTAATTATTTTACACAAAACTGAATCTCGACCTTTCGATCATTACGATGTCAGAAAGGAAGGAGGATGATCGATTTCTATTGCAGCTATAAGTGAAAGAAGAGATTTAGAAATAATGAGGATGGAAATGGAATCATGTTATTGCTTTTAATATTTGGTTTAATACCATTTCTAACTTAATGATCCAGTTTTGCTGCTACAGAGAATGGGTACACCTTCACATTATTGAAAGTAATTGTACGATCAATTTTAGTTTCAAATAATTGTTTTTAAAGACTCTATTTACAAAACACTCGCAATTATATCGGATTTCTAAAGCAGTTCATGCAACCAAATCTAAACTTCTTATTATCTAACAGACAATATCTTTAATTAATATCCAAAACCAATTAAATTTTTCAATAAATTAGTGTAAATGACAACAAAGATCAGTTTCACTGTCATATGATAACCATGACTACAAAATTTATATAATAAGCAAGTTTATTAATTGGTACACCTAATTTGTGTCGTATATCAGCTGTGACTTTGTCTTGTCTTTGTCATGCAACCAAATCTAATTTTTTTATTATCAAACAGACAATTTCTTTAATTAATATCTAAAATCAATTAAATTTTTCAACTAAAATTTCATCAATATCAAAGATATCAAAATAATATTATTAAATATATCAATATATATATATCAATTTTACTGTCATATGATAACCATGACTACAAAATTTATTTAGTAAGCAAGTTTATTAGTTGGTACACCTAATTTGTGTCGTATATCAGTGTGGATTAAACTTTACAGAACACTGTTTCTCTACCTATGGTACCTATGTGGTGTACATTTATGAATTTACAGATGTCACTTTGTGTGGATTTGGTGACACCTGTCATCTTGTGTGGATACAACTTCCGAGACCAGCGTTTTTCAACCTATGGGAAAATGGGTCGGAAAATGACAGCTGTCACTTTGTCTGGATTTGGTGACAGTTGTCACTGTGACGTAGTACAACTACAAACAAATATGTTGCTAACAATATGGGTGGACTAAATATGTTGGAGGGACAAAAAAAGGTTGAGAAACGCTGTTACAGATTATCTCTTAATCTTAAAATGTTAATGCTATTTAAATAACAACATTACTAAAATGAAAGTGATTAAGAAGACCCAAATAAATATTCATAAGTTTTCTCCAAAATATATATATATCTAAAAACATATCGAGCACACGACTATTTATAAACGAATTATTTTTTTCCTTTCGGCTTATCTACAAGAACAACATTTAATCTCTCAATGTGTTCATTAAAACTATAAGCAATATATGTTTTGGAAAGAAAAATAAATAATGAACGAAATAATAAAAAAAAACAAACTAAAATCAATTGTTAACAATACAAACTAAGTTGATATTTGTTCCGTGAGTTCCGGCAATTTTATCAGAATAAATTTTCCATTTAAAGCAAACATAATGCGATGAATAAATAATGTTCGTCATTATCAGATATGAATATTTGTATTTAATTTTTATACCGTATCTAATCTCACTGTTAAATGTCAATAAAGAAATGATAGATTAGTATTTAAATATTTTCGAAGTTTTATGTTTTTATTTGTTGAAGATTATTATCTTTAATTTGAAAAATTTAATTTCCATTTAATAAGATTTTAAAATATTTACAGTGCTCAATTTTGAAGTAATTATATTATAAACTAAATGTTAATTACTTTGACTATATTTTGAATGCATTTGTTTACAAAAAAATGTTGCTTCTAACTTTACGTATTTTAAATAAAAAAATCATTTATTTGTTAATTTGGGAATCAAATGTTTATATTTAATTCAATGATTTTTACATTGTAAAGTTCTGTTAATTGTTAATGTTAATTGTTGTAGACTGATAATTTGGATTATCATAAAAATAAATTAAATTATCTTTATATACTTGTGATAATAAATAAATATATTTTTTTTATAATTATGTTTATCAATAAATCAATGGATAAAAATAGACTGTTAAGTATTTATCGTGTCGTTGGAGGTTTTGATGTATATTTTTTTTTACTAATATAATTGGTGCTTTATCTGCAGAGCACAAACATCGAGTACTATTTATAAGTGATATTATCCATTGTGTATGCTTAACCGGAGAAAGATTATGATTACATCGAGTATGATATAAACAAATGTGCGATAATCTGCATTCAGTGTGTGCCCAGAGTGCGACCGTTCAACATGCTAGTGTTTGCGTTTATATTGATGGTATGCGCGGTGAGAGCGGATTACTGGGAGGTTAGAGACATGCTCATCAAGAAGGACAGAAGCCATGGGATCGGATCCAATTTAGAGCTGAGCAATCTCGAGAAGGAAGCCAACAAAATATTGATGGAGTACAAATATCGCGAAATCGACGCAAGCTTCGAGAATCCGGGAAACTTTTCACCCGCCCGCCATTTCTTCCATTCGAAGCCAGACATCGAACGTTCGGAGATCTTCAAGATCATCCAGATGTTACCAAAAGGAGCGTCGCTCCACGGACACGACACGGCTTTAGTCTCGGACGATTTCTTATTCAATTTGACGTACAAAGAAGATTTGTATCTATGCGGAGGATCGGTTCTGAAGTTTCTGGCTAGCGACAAGGATGGATGCAAATCGTTGCAAGATTTGAGGAATTCCGATCCTGATTTCAATACGTGGCTCAGGAAGCAGATGACTCTGATCGTGGATAATCCGAAGGAGGCTTATCCGGACATCAACGCAGTTTGGAAACGTTTCAGCAAAATTTTCGCACTAATAACGCCGATGATCACTTACAAACCAGTCTTCGAAGAATATCTGTATCAGGTGTTGCAAGAATTCTATAACGACAACGTGAGTTACGTGGAGTTGAGGGCAACACTTGGCTGGATTTACGATGCCAAAGGAAAGAGGTATGATCCTTTCGAAGTGGTTGGTTTGTATAAAGATATAGTGGATCAGTTCAAGAGCAAGAATCCCGGTTTCTTCGGGGCGCGCGTCATCTACGCTCCCACCCGAAACGTGAACAACGAAACCATGTACAATTACATGATGAACGCGAGGAAACTGAAGCAGTTGTACCCAAATTTCATAGCCGGATTCGATTTGGTCGGACAAGAGGATTTGGGGAAGCCTCTGGATGAATTTATATGCGAGCTTCAGAGTATTTCCAAAGAGATGAAGTTCTTCTTCCACGCGGGAGAAACGAATTGGTACGGCGTTTCCACCGATCTGAATCTCTTCGATGCGATTCTCTTAAACACGCAGAGGATTGGGCATGGTTACGCGTTGGTTAAACACCCTGAAGCGTTGCGCGCTGTGAAGGAGAAGCAGATCGGAATAGAAATATCGCCGATTTCCAATCAAGTCTTGATGCTGGTGGACGATCTCAGGAATCATCCTGCTAACGTGTTGATAGCTCATGGAATGCCGGTGGTGATTTGCAACGACGATCCTAGTTTCTGGGGTGCCCGAGGCCTCAGCTACGATTGGTACATGGCGTTCATGGGAATGAGCAGCAGGGAAAGTGACTTGAGGCTGCTGAAACAATTGGCAGTAAATTCGTTCTTGTACTCCTCGATGGACGCGTCGGAGAAGTTGGACAGTATTAACAAGTGGGAGAAGCTCTGGAACGATTTCCTCTACCATTTAGTAGCAATGTATTCCAACATGTTATCGGACTAATCACTAAGTTAAATAGATGTCATCTGCGAACAATATCCGCTAACAACACTTTAATCATCGGAATCAACACGGGAAATCTGGGTTACCGCATCGATATTTATAAAAAACACAAACAGTAGATGAAGTGGAACAGGAGTTGTTCGCTTCTGCTTCCTATTTTCACCATTAGAATCGTTCCGGAAAACTTTGTCCTTTCCACTTCACTCGCAGGCTCCGCATACTTCAATCACTATGTAACGCATATCATCATCATACACCTAAGAAACCATGAATCATTGAAAAGATCTTTTAACGTCGCACGATGTGTGTCAATGAGATGATAATTTATCTCCTTATTAGCTTTTTTTTTATATCTCTCTAAACACTCGTCCTGCTGCGTTAAATCTTTGTAACCCACATTCTTCGCGCAATTCGGCAACTTCTGTTATTCGCAATTAAACTAATGCAGTTCCGATTTAGTTGATTAGTGGATCATTTTACCGTTTCCTATTCCTTTTATTATTATCATCATCATCATCGTCGAGCCATTATTCTAACTGTTCGCAGGAAGCGCCGGTATGAATATTAACCGAACGCATTCCTCTATTACCAATTGTTACGTTCATCATATTATTCTTTCGCATTTTTTTTGTTTTGGTTTCGGGATCGCTTATTTTTCCGTGTCGCGTTTTTAATTTGTGGGTCAGTGGGGTTCGGACGCCCACGGGCCACTTGATCCAAGCATGTGTCTATATATATATATACATACTCAGACGCATGTGAGACTACCGCTAACCAAGAAGCACAAGACAACACAACACCCGATTGACCCACACTTTCAGGCCAACCGTCCGACCTAACGGATTGGTACCATGTCATATAGCATATAGCGACCATTCAAAAAGTCCATCCGCAATAAATTAAACATTAAACTAGAACCTGAGCAGCACGAGACGACATTCCTAATACCATATTACATAAATCCGCATTCGTACTCCAGAAAACTGGAAACCATTTTCAGGATGAACTGATCCCAATTCACCAAAAACAAACTTAACAATCAAACAATTTCTTCATACAAAACGCAATTATATTTGCATTGCAGACACAGAAAAAAAAATAAACTTTCGCTGCTTTGGTAACGGATCCATTTGGTCTCTTTAACACGACCGACGCATCTCTTGAATACGTGCACTTGCGACCTTATTGTTTGTTCTTCTGCAATTTTCTTCTTCTTCTTCTGCTTCTTATTCTGTTTTTTTGCATAAGTGCAGAATTTCACTTGACCTCTTTCAGATTTCATGCAGCCTCGCCGCAATCGCGCAAATTGTTTCACTATTATTTATCAATGCGGACGGGATTCTTGCATGCTAATCACATGACCTATCGCTTTCTATTTTGAGCCGTGTTCACCGCATATCCAAAACTCGTTTCGATCTTTGTGTATACAAGAAAATATAATTAAATAATGTCAGTTTTAACATTTAAGTTTTTTTTACCTTTGAACATTAAAATAAATATTATTAATCATAATATTAAATATCAAAATGTAAAAAAAATAAATCATTTAATAGGAATAAACTTAATTCTTATATTTTATTGTATTTCTGTTAGTTTTTTTGTATTATTTTGTAAAATGTATTTAAATTTCTTAATTATTAAATCTGTAATTAATTACCAAATGGCAAGAAAATGACTTTATCTTAATGTAATTTTAATGAACTATTAATTATTGTATTTTTTTTATTATATTTCTGTTAATATTTTGTAAAATATTATAATTTCATTTGTTTATTGGATATACAGAATTTAAAAATTGTAACTTTGTTATTTTTATTATTTTTTTTCTTTCAATTAAAAGTAAAGTTGACTATAGAAATTCATTAAATACTGGTAAAAAAATTCTGATTTTTCATTGTTTTGTTTGTTGTTACTAGATTTTAAACACAGAGGAATTTAAATTCTTTAGTAAATTTAAAAGTTATTTTCTTTTTGAAAATTTGTAAATTTAATTTCTGTAACAAAAATGTTATAATCTAATTAAATAATTATAATCTAAGTAGCTACAATCTCATAATATTTAACAATAATTTGAACAAACTTTTTGTGAAAAAAAAATATTGATTAAACAAAAAATATTTGATTTCTTATAATCAAATTAAAATTAATGAGCTAATTTATTTCTAATATTAAAATGTTATTCTACTTCTTCTCTATATGTTTTTTTTTCTTCCACGTGGGAAAATTTTATGAATTACTTCATTTATTTTTTTAAATTTTAAATAATAAATTAAAAATTATTACTCTATTCATGTTTCCCTCACATTTTTCTTTCTTCCCGCGTAACACTTCTTTCTTTGTGTTTATTACAAAGAAAGATCATATTGAACAAATTGAATAATGAATTAACTGAATTGGATCATATACATTTATAGAATTAGCTTTGATTGTAAAATACAAAATGTATAAATTTTGTGTTAAATTGCTAACTATATAATTACTAAACGTAATATATTCTAATTGATTCGTTAATGGTTTCTTATACAATGTGGGTCATCGATGTTTAACAAGCTTTACTGTTACTATTTATTTTTGTCTCAAGAAATGAGATATTAAGAGACGAATTGTTAGAATACAATTTTTTTTCTTAGAAAAGATAATTTTTAGACAATTATTTTAGTAATTTATCCAGTTACATCAAAAGACATTGTAAAATTTTACAATTTAATGTATTAACATAAATTTTCTATAGTTTTTCATGTAATTCTAGTTCATAATTTCATTAGCAATTTATTTAATTTCAAATATACTTTGAATACAATTAATTTGGTAATTTATCAATTTACATAAAAAAAACATTGTAAAATTTGACAACTTAATGTATTAACATACATTTTCTATAGTTTTTCATCAAATTCTAGTTTATAATTTTTCTTAAGTTCAAAATTTCATTAGCAATTTACTTAATTTCAATCATGCTTTGAATACAATTATTATGGTAATTTCTCAATTTAAATTAAAAAACATTGCAAAAATTTGACAACTTAATGTATTAACATACTTTTTCTATAGTTCTTCACCTAATTTTAGTTCACAACTTTTCTTAATTTCAAAATTTCTTTGATCAAAGTTGTATCAAAAGTTACATTGTAAAATGTAATTGATGTATTCAATTATAAATCTCGTTTTTCTCTCGTTGTAACTACATTCTCGTTATAAACGTTTCGCAATGTGGAAAACAAAGGTCGTTGTTTCAATGAGCAGATTTAATCTTTACGAACCCGTTGACAACAGATGGTGTCGCTGTAGTAATTAAGAAAGCAATAAAAGTATTCTAAATTTATTTCGCTATTTCACATTATTTGCATATTTCTACCGTTGCATACCGAACACGTACATCATCACAACGGAAATAAATCGTGGTTAAAAGTCGGCTCGAACTAAAACCGCAACAATATAAGAATTATTGTTAGAAACTTATACAAATTTCCTACATTATTTGTTTTACTATAATATAATTAGTTTTCATACTAATTCATGCAAATTATTACAAATTTTTCAAACTTTTCTTGAATATCTAGTATAAACATGGAAACAGGAAATAATTAGATATTTTATAAGAAATTTAAAAATCATCATTTTGACTTAATAAAAAAAAATATTCTCATTTAGTTTTGTCAATTTTTAAATATTTTTTTATAAATTATTAATTAATTTCATACAAATTCCAAATTTCCCATATTTTGAAAATTTTAAAATAATGATTTTGAATCTTAAATTTTCATAAATGAAAAAAGAAACAAATCAATGAATATACATGATTGATGAATGACTTTTGTTACAAATTCCGAACGTAGTGGTTTCTTTTTCCGTTTTTTTTTGTGTGCAAATATTTAAAACACGTTTCACGGTCGCACGTTTTGCAGAGCAAATGATTTCCCTCGTGCATTTCGGAAACGGACTGTCTCGAATAAAATATCAGCTTCTGTGTGGACTGATCATCAAACTGTCCACGGAAGAATTTCGCCTGCACGTCGTGTCCGTCCGTCACTCATTCACTTATGCATGAGGGTCGTAGACTGACTGACTGACTGCATTTTTACTCTGTATTCCGAAAACCTAGATCCACTTACGATACAATCAATATTAGATAGTTTTCTGTTTAAAATTAACACACTTTTACAAAAATCAGTCAAAAATTACTGAATTATTCGTAAAATTACACTGTTAATTTTCATATAATTATACTAAATTAGTTTACAATTAATTCATAACAAAAAAATCACATAAAATTTGTAAGAATTAACGACTTATTAAAGAAATTTTAATTAAAAATATGTTTTTTTTTTTCGATGATGAAAATTTATTTACACTACAATTAAAATGTTCTATCTGTTTATACAATATATGTTTGTGCCATGAATTCCTAGATTTTCTAGTGTTTAGAAATTAGAAATCAAAATGTATTTGTTGTCTGGAAATCTGATATTATTGAGATGTTTTCTAACATAAAATTCTGTAAGTATTCTTAGGTGTGGCTTCTTTTGTCGGTTAAATATGTGAAAGTTTATTTTATTGTCTACGATTTGCTAAACTCACATTATATTTTTTTCTTCGAATTGTGTTAGTTTTACTAATTAACCAAGTTTATTTTATAGTTTAACCGGTTTCATATGCGAATTAGTTCAATCGATGATTCAAAAACGTTTAAAAAAAATAAGTTCATTGAACATTGGAATTTTTCGGTATTTTTTGTCTAATTTATTGAAACCAATTAACAAAAAAATGTATTAGTATAATTACGAAAAATGTAACAAATTTAAGTGCATATTTGAAATAATACAGTCACAATTTTGTGAAATTATTACAAGAAAAAAGTTTGGGTAAATTTATCAAATGAAAGATGAAAAAGTTACCTTAATAAAATGGGAAATTTTGAAATTGAAAAGCTAGAAAACTTGTGATGTTATGTACATAATTCATATTCGAATGAAATGAAATTTAGCAAAAAAAAAGATCATCCATACGTTGTTTAACTTTTGAAAGATGAATTTAGAAAAATTAAAGTATTTTCAATGTTTTTTTTTTTGCAATGTGAAATTTGATTTATTAACTTTTATAAGTAATT